CTAAAAATCGCTTTGTTTGAAGGCTGAAAATAACCGACCGCTCACATGGTACCAGTTTGTAATCACTGAGCTGAATAATCACAACAATTACACGCGACTCGGAGCGTATCCAAACACGTGCTGTACTAGCTACGCAGGTCATGTTGTATTTTTAGCAATGGCATTCTCTGCCAACAGCGCATCTTCATTTTCGTCGCCGGGTATCCGTCGTCTATTTGGGTGAAGAGCCCGCGGTATCTTGACCCGAGCTCACCACCACAAAATCTCTACAAATATATATTCATTTCGACTTCGATTTTTCAACATAGATAATAACTCATATCTTGAATTAAACCTGATTTTACGATGCTATGGTGTGAGAACATCCTGCTGTTTTTGTATTGCCTATTTTGGATATTATTTATTTCGCAATGTTCTGAATTCGCAATGCATGTTGGTCAGTATAATTCTTATTTTAGGCAGCAAAAAAATATCGAGGATATCCTGTGAAAGGTTTTTAAGAAAGGTCGCTGCTTAAACTGAGTACGCCGGCCGGGAGGCGAAATAACAGTGAAATGAAGAGCGGTTTTGAATGCAGAAATATTATTCCACCTTGAACGCACTTCGTAAACGTGATGAATATTGGACCGTCGGTCGGTTGAGCAGATCTATACCTCTTTAAATAATCGGACAATTTGCCAAATTTAGTAGTTCCTAGCAATTATTCACTGATCTCGGCGTGAACTTCTTTCCAAAATACCGACGACCTTGGCTCATGGTTAAAAACAGTTAGTCTACAATATATACAAGACAGGGAGTTTATGTTTTATTTTGTGACTTATTGAAGTTATAGAAAAGTTTGTATCCCCCGCTTGTTGAAAATATGGGAAACCGTCTGAGGTTCTAACAACATGGAATGAAGGAGTGGTCGAAATTCCCCGCTTTATTACAACCAGACAATTCATGGCATCTTTCGCTCCCAGAGGCGTGAGCCATATGCTGTAATCAGACTCCAATCCGGTGCAATCGACACATCGTTTAAACAGTGGTACAAAATATGCACGCAACCACATTAAGGCCGTAACAAAGGCTATCGCAAAGGCTAACTCCTCACGGGAGGAAACCGCAAAGCATACTGAGAACAGTACTCGGTTGTCCACAATAGACAAGGTCAATTCCAGTGTTGTATTTCGCGGACTCGTTACACAATATACATACTTCATTGTCATGTTTGAATAGAGTAAACATGTTTGCGTGATACTTCTTTCTCTGCCAAAAATATTGCAGTTTTCAACACATCTTCTTCAAAGACAGGCGTGATCTGGCTGATTATAATCGATATTCCGTTTTGATTAAATTCAGCAAGTGAACAACTTTTATACCTAATGGGATCATCTGTAAACGCTGAAGTATTAGGAAGTGCTTACATGCCGCAAGAGAGCTTGACTCACCCAATACGGGTGTCATCTAGCCCAAAGGGCCACTTCTGTTGTTAATGGTATGACTCGGATTAAGAAACAAAAATATTATATCACTTTGATACGCCAAATACGAGCTAGTCAAGGCGAAGTAGCCGGAAAGAATCTTAGAAGACAGTTGATAGAAATAGCCACCTTGGACGCAAAACTGAGTAAATTAAGACAATGTGACAACGGTATGATTTTCGTGATAAAAATAAACCATTTAGCCGGGGCATTAACAGCAATAGCGTGAATATTGCGTTCCGACCGGCGTTCCACTGGGCTGGGTTTGCCCGCCGAAATCATGCAACGTTTGGATCCTGTTAATCCCTTCGCTTTTCATCTGAAGTGTGGGTGTGTGGTAAGTATCTCCATTAACAGCCTAATGATATTCTGTTCAATTACGAACACACGCTAGGATAGTTTTGGGCACGATAGGAAACAACCGAAGGAACCCGAAACATGCATGAGGAAGATAAACAACCGCAGCCAGCAAATTGGCAAAGTCACGAAAATAGCCGAAAACAATGGTTGTTTAGACAGAATTGAACATTTATAGACTTGTTTATAATAAGGATTATAAATTATTATAAAACTCTATGAAAAGCAAGAAAAGGGTCGCTGATGGCGATTCTATCCGGGTTGTCGTGTATCTTGTGGGAAAAATTTGCCGGACTAAAATACTTTGGCCTCCGGCACGAAATGTTTCCGTTTTAGCATAATATACTAAACATACACGTCATAAATAAAATATTTAGTGATGTAATGTCGGTTAAAAAAACGTAAATATGAAGTTTATAAGTTATTATTATATGCAATATTTTTTTAGATATTCATTATTATATGCAATATTTTTTTAGATATTCATTTTATAAACTTACTCTATTTTTTGGAAGTTGAATCATAGTGTTATAGTATATTTATAGCTACAGATATAAAGCATGACGTTAAAGTTATTATTATTAAATTTCACGCAATAATTTCTTAAAATATCAACGCGTATTACCCCACTGCATCAATCGTAGGCTGACACGAATCAGCCGATATAAAAAAGGCCCACTCGTCGTAACAACCCACTCAACGCTTAAATCCCTTAGAAACGAGGCACTCATTGCACGTCTCGTGAAAAACGGCCGAGCATCTGCCGATTTTCGTTATCCGCTTAAATCAAGTATACATGTATACGCGTTTGTTCGAGTAAAATTTGGAAATGGAGCCCACGGCGTGGGCATTGCAACGTGTTTTGACTAGAATCGTCAGATCACCATGGAAACGACAAGAAGCATAATACGTGTTCCTACGAATGAACGTGAATATTATTGGTAGAACTATTGTGTTCACAGAAGCCCCCAGGGTGGGAATATAAAATATATTTACGGCTGTTTCACTCCTAGGACTGAAAGTTGTATCTAACACTTGCTTGTTCTTTTCGTTCCATGCATATTTTCCGGAACTGTGGTTACCAGGTATGCTGGTTATCTGGTAATTCAGCTGGGGTTATGGCAACACACGGATCATCAATAATAGTTATTGGTTTAACAGACTTCGTACGTCAGAACACCTTTAAAGACGTATACGTTAATATGTGCTGTCTCCCATGTCCCTGTAAGAGCCCTAACCATGCGTCGGCCAAAAGGATATTCAACACGGGTTGTTAAAATTTGAAAAAGATATATAACAATTCGTACGTTCATATAGCGAGGACTTTCACAAATGATTCACGTATTGCAATGTCAAGTTCAGCACATTTCAATTGGCATCAATAAACACTATGACATTATATGTAAACACTCAAATACTTTGCTAATTAATTATATACAGACGTCATAACTGTAGTACACGAATTGTTTAAGTAATGGCATCTTACGCTCAGCATAATATCAGTAACGCGATGAGAATGATGAGATTGCGGTTCAGTTTCTTTTAATAGAGTCAAATACGCGTTTATCTTCGTTTGTGATCGTATCAAGCCGAAGATACGATGAAAAGTCATTGAATAGAAAGTAAGCTGTTACTGACTAAAATCACCGCAAGGGCTAGAAACCAATTTGAATTTACGTCTTGTTTTAGCGATTACGTTTTCTCGTAATATCATTGCAAACGGCTGTTTTTATCATAGAATCAGGCATGACAACCGGATTGAATGAACACGATTTGTGAACTAATAAACCAAACTCCTAAATGCCAGTAGATGCAGCCCATGCAGGGATGTTCTGACTGAGGTTTATCATTAAAGAAGGAGTTTCCCTTCTGTAATAGCAAGCGTGGCAGCCCTGTGCGCGCCTGCAAAGCTATCGTGCGCATTTTAATGGTCGATTCACCTTTATCAGCCATGGCCATACGAGCCAATATATACTTATCGTTATTCGTGAAACAATCAATTTCACTTTTTTCCCTCCCTCCTACACAATTTTGGCAGGTGTGCGCTTCGATGAAAACAATCATGACGAATTATGGTTCTCCCATGAATAGTCGACATCCGTAATCCTAACCAACCCTCGCACCTGGTTTGGGCAGATTATGTCATTAAAGTACTTTTATAGTTTAAATTTATTTCTAAAAACGGTCATGTGACATATCACGTGAATGCCGCGCGTCGGGGATTCGTAAAAGAATGGTTGACGCACTCGAAGAGAATGGTCCGACGTTCGTTCGCGCCTGTGAAAAGACGGAAGCACCTCCGTACCCACAAAACAGACCTGTGAGAAACTCGTGACAAACAAACAGATAAACACAACAAGTAAGTACACGAACGTAAAACAAATTGACTAAACAACAATGTAAATTGTGTTTGCAATTTTGGGTTGAACCTTTAACTTTCAAAGGGCGCAAACTGGTAACGTTTTGCCCTTTCAGTTAATGCATCACCTGTTCAAACGAACTCATTACGGCCATTGTGGGAAAGAACACTGGTCGCCATACGAAACTCCAGGTGAAACCGCCTACTAAGCGCAATCGAATCGATTTAATGTGTTTGATCAGTACACCACGTTTTCTGTTTATAGCCGAAAACTGATGGGCAAAAAATACGCTGTTCTATTACACCGTTCATAGAAATTCCCGGGGTAAGGTAGGAGGATGTTGTTGAAGTGAATGATCAAGCCCTTCATCATCATACTGATGAAACCATCCACACGGATTTACTTCGAATTGAAAACCTGGAAGGCGAGATCGCTCGTGTCCACACTCATGTGATATTCCTGAGATATTAGGTAAATGCTCTCTTTTAAGGGAGATCTGGCCTGGGAAACCCCGTTGAAAACGAAGAAAGCGTTCTCAAATTTCAGCGAAAAAGATTTACAAAATAGTCAAGTTTTTTAAGATAAGAGAGACATACTTTGCAAGTATGATAAAAAACATATTAGCGTAAGTACGCAGTCAGCAAATTGACAGCTGCGTAAGCATTATTTTATAGAAAACTATAATAAACTGATTTCGAACTACAAGTTCTCAGAATACCGCATTTTTCGTGCTAATTTCTAATCCATAATAAGCCTTTGGGTAGTCTCAAAATATCTCCTCAAATATAATAACCGGCAAAATAGGCACGGAAGATTTCAATAAGCCATTAGAGGCAAATCTGTTTTCATTACACAAAAGATGCGTGTAAAAACACAGCCTTGTGGGTCTTTCATCACCGTTCACGCACGAATGACTCCAATGTCGTAGCGACAAAGCAAAGCAATATAACCACGTGCCGGAAGTAGATCACACGACTCTTTGTTCAAGCGATGAATGCGGGGTTTGCCCATGGCGTATAAATAACGAAGCAAGAGCGGAAAATTTAGTCATTTCAAACTCGTTACCGCGACGTGTCGAATTCTGGCAAATTCACAAAAGATTTTCGACGGAAAGGGAATCGTTTAGATCGACAGAAGATTCAGGGGTAAATGTGTGTTTAGTTCAACGCTGAAATTGTAACAAAATCATCAAGATATCACATCGCGTGTTGTGTCGTCGACAACATTCTCGTGGGCTCATCGTATATTGTCCTAAACGCTCGTCACGAATGAAAGTGTAAACGCAAACACTCTTCGTTTCGTTTTGAAAATAACACAACGGTCTTCAAGCGACGTTTAGTTTCGCTTTTCGTGAACAAGTTGGCTTGCCTAAACGAAAGACGAACGGCACGTTATTTGCCATATAGAATGGGCGCCAGAATTTCATCAACAAAGCGATCAAACATGGACGCGACTGATAGCCGAATACAAAGATACAAGAACATAAGCGTTGTCACCGTGCCTTCAAAGCCCAGCCCGACAGCGCACGCTAGACCAGAGAAATTGGACATTATTTTAGACCGACCAAAACTGACAGACGAGATAACTAGGACACACGCATGGAACCCAGAGGACAAGTCCGCAAATGTCTTCATAAAGGAGGACAATCCTTACGTTCTTCATCGTCATCCAGTTGCGCAAAGCACGGACTGTGTGAGAGGTAAAGTTGGCTATAAGAGAGGTTTTCACGTATGGGAGGTTCGCTGGCCAACGAGGCAACGCGGTACGCACGCTGTTATAGGGATTGCGACGTCTAAAGCCCCGTTACAATGTACCGGGTACCAGACATTAGTTGGAAACAACCCAGAGAGCTGGGGTTGGGATATCGGACGAAATAAACTTTACCACGACGAGAAGAACATCTCAAAAATAAGCTACCCCGATACGAACGATAATTTCACGACACCTGAGTGTGTTCGAGTCATTTTAGACATGGAAGAAGGGACTTTGTCATTCGAGGCGAACGAACAGTACTACGGCATCGCATTTCGTGGCCTGAAAGGGAAGACAGTGTATCCTATTGTTTCGGCCGTCTGGGGCCATTGTGAAGTCGATATGAAATACATGGGAGGCTTAGATCGTAAGTTTTGAAACAATTTTTCTTCGATTTCGTGTTGTTGTTGTTTCGCATTGTTCTTTCATGAGTCTGTTCTAGGTTGGGTGCATGACGTAATTTCCGTTTTCCGGTTCTGATGTAAATTCGCTCGAAGGCAAAGTGTTGTATGAACTTCAAGTGCTCTTAAATCGCTTCTTATAAGTGCAATTTCCTTCCTTCTTTCGATGTAAGCGTCATAGGATATTATAAGACCATATATTCGTATATTCGCTTGAATTTTTTTAACAAGATACTAAGCTTTTCACAAATTTACGCATGGTTCTAGCCCAGAGGCTTAATGTATCCGGTTTAAAGCGCTCTAAAAACAACACATTATGTGGATTGTATTACGATATGCTAGCTTGAAAACAGAATAATTTTACTTAAAAGCAACCAATGTTGTGTTCAATGTTTAGGTTTTAACAAATTAGACCATTCATTACCGCGAGTCTATATAGTACCAGCTATACCCTATCTACTTGGCATTGAAAATAGCCCCTTTTGTCTGTCACAGTCTAGCCACTAAAAATTTGTGAATTATATCGTTACGTTTATCGCCCAAAACCAGCTTATTTTTACGAATCTCGCATCACTATTCTATCATTCATTGGAAATTCTAAACAGTTACGTCATGGAGTTAATAAAAGCGAGAACAAAAAATCGGCTGACGAATATTCAATGGGGTATCTTTGAAAAACCGCAAAAAAACGGAAACCCTTGGTAAACGCCTGTATCGAATAGCACAAACGTAAATTGGCGGCCACAACTGTTGTCGAAAGGGACAAAAGGTCAAATTTTGTTATCAAAACATATATTTAGGGCCACTGCTATCGGCTTATGGTTATTCTATAACCTTACATGGGAACAAACCAAATTTCTTGCCAAATATTTTAATGTGTATGGGCGTTTGAGTCTTCGTTTCCGGCTATTCTTCGTTCTAAATTGTATACTTAATAACTATATTCGATTCTCCTTTTGAACCGAAGTAAATAGCAGTTAGAAAAACTCATATTTAAATTGGTAACTCCAAATCGCAGTGAAAAAGACTCACGTTTTTTTAATACGTATCTTATACAAATGTAAACATGTTTACGTGTTGAGAGAAGTGGTAATTAATACACCAAAGATTTGGATGAAGAAATATCGATCCTCTCCATATAAAGATTTCTGTCTATGTGAATATATATTACATAGATGAAAACAATTTGAGGACAAAACGAGTTTTTCTAAAAATCAAGGCTAAGTTATATGTCCCAAATCCGAATAAATTCTTAATACAAAACTCTTCATAATCCTGATTGAACACGTGTTACATAGTTTAAAAGAAATTGTATGGAAATTACTTTCACAAACGGAACGAAAATAAAAGTTGAAAAAAATCATCTTTTAGTTTCGTAGAATAGCGTTGTAGTTTAAATTTGAACAAAAAGTGCATGTAAACTTAAGACTTAGTTATATTTTCCTAAAGAGAAAAAATAATTCTACATGCATCGCATACCAGGCGGCAGAAGTGATCTATTTTGAGTTTTTGTACAAGTTGATATGCGTTGAACTTTCATAGCTATAATCCGGCTTTCTTATTTCACAATGCAAACGATTAAAAAACGTGTTGAAAATGATAAATAATCATTTGTAAAAGCATTGTGCGTTGTTTTGACAGCACAGCTAAAACCTTATAGCAACCACGCTATTTTAGCAACTTTGTTGTAAGTTAATAGGGTCTGGAGACAATGGCGCATTGAATTGTTATGCATGAATACAAGTTACTCGTGGCCTGGTAGCGGTCAGAAACGACAGCTTTGCTTGTGGGAACGTTCTTTGTTTCCTTTCAAAAGCACGTATATTGAAACGCCCTATTAATTATGAATCGATCATTCGCGTAGCAACAACAATTTTGAAAGAACAAGGCTGTTTCTTTGTTGTTGCAGGCTTCTTTACTTTCAAATCAAAGCGCTATTGTGTGGATTTATGCATGAATACGTAGTAGCGTCCTAGAATTTGAAGATAAACCTTAAAAGCTCTTCGTCCAACGGGCAAAATGCTCCGATGTAAAAAATGGCAGAGGCTTGTAGTTGTTTGAAATAGATATAGGCATTCTAAGCTAGATGTTACAACTATTCGTATTCGTATTCGTGTATCGCAAACACTTAGCTGCGGTTTGGCTACGATATGATATGAGAATATACTTGCCAATTTGTATACAAATGTAATATTGTTCTACTACATAAAATATTGTGTTGATAATACCCTATACTTGATATTCGAACTTTGTGAAACTACTGTAGTTTAAACCGCAACGAAAGTCGAAAGTGAATCTTTACAATATATTAAACTATATTGTATTTAAGTTCTCATGGCTGATAAGATCACTAAAGCTGGCATTCTTTGTCCATCTCGAAAGTACAATACTCAAAAGTTCATATAGCCGGCTTTTAGAAAGTTTACATGAACCCTTGACTTTTGAAATACCCCAACCTTTTACCTACCAAAACATACAAGATACATTTCAAATGGTATTTAAACCAAAATAAATATATTTTGACCATGTTTATTTGATGGGAATTCCACCGAAATCAATATCCATCGGCATCGTTAACGCATTCTTTAAGTTTTGAAATTGCGCAAAGCACTTGTGTATAAGTTTCTCGACACGACCAAAGACATATCATTTGCAAAACGTCAATACAGGGCATATAATATTACGGCATTTATTTCATATCTGCCCTAGAAGTACGTAAATTAGGAGGGTATAAACAGTCAATATCAAAGGTCATTCTTGAAACAGGAATTCCTATCGCATCGTGGAGCTTTTGTCTCACGTTTTGGTGACGTAATGTCTAAGTGAGATAGAGGGACAGCCTGCATGATGGAAATTTGATATAGGAAGTTTTATGATTAAGTCAAGTTTTGATTGACAGTAACGTAAGTGAAACAATATCAGGTGTTAGATATTTTATGTTTGTTTCACTGTTTTAACTTCTGAACTGATGTCTTTAGGCTGCTTGAATGAAAGTCAATATGGCTTTTCAAGTTTTTCTTTTGAAAAGAACAATATCGCTCTTTTGCACTTGCCTTTTGTGCTTGTGAAAACAAAAACACTAACAGAGTAGTTTGAAATAAAAAATTGGACACACTTTCGTGAGACTGCATTTGAACAAAACCAAAAACAATCCCAACTCACTTGCTTAAGAATACTGCAGTGGTGTTGTCAAAAAACTAGTTTTATCAGTGGTAATATGGCTTTAGATTGATTGTATGGTTTTATCAGTGTGGTTATGGGTTTTTAAACAAAGAGATACTTGTTCCTAGTTGCTACACAATACTGTTGTTTCATTTTCTTATCAAAGAATATTCCATTCATTAAATGGATCCCCAACACTCCATTAAAACAGCTGTGTTTGTTATGTTGATTATTTTCTCACCTTTTAAAGAAATTTGAGCTGGGCATGCTCCAAATAAAAAACTCCTTGATCCCAGCTGTGTTTGCTTTCTTTTAATTGACCAATGTGGCTTCATCTGCATGCGACATGTGGTTGGTTAACATATTCCACTGTGAGCTCATTCTAGTTCTTATGTTCATTTTAGCTGAACCTCAGCCATTGATGGAATTGTGTCGAAGAAGCATACGAAAGTCCATGGGAAAGCAGAGGCTTCTCAAAGGCCAAGACAATGTTGAAAAATTGCCGATACCTGGTTGTTTAAAGAGGTATATCCAGTATCAATGGTAATACAACCATGGAAACATTTACCCTCTTTGCTCCTCATGCCACTGGAAGAGACTTTGATACCCTGAAAACACAAATGAAGTATTTATTTCCCATGAAAAATGAACACATAGGACACAGTTCAATGGTGAAAATGAGACATATTCCCAAATACTGTAAGACATTTTATAAATCAGCAAGCAATCATATGCCTGACTAGAGCCAAGTTCTGTCGCAAACATGTGATGATATTGACTACGAAATGTTGAGATTTTTTTTGAGAAAGCCACAAATCTTTGAATATAAACCAGTTACCTCTTGTGCCTTGAAGATGTAGCTAGGTTTTGCATCAAACTTTTCATTCAAAGTTGTGCATTTCAAAATACAATATATCTAAACAATATATTTTTAGTATGCCCCAACATCATATGTTCTATAAGCCATGGTAACCATCATATAAAATCAAATTACTATTGATGCCCATAGCATCCTGATGCCTATAGCCGACTGATTACTCTCTAATAAATGCTTATTCTTTGACGTTACTGGTATTATATTCTATATTACTTTCTTGCACTGGGTAAGATCACTCTTAACACCACACCACATTAAAGTGGTTAAATTTTTATGGTACTTATGAGACATACTTATTCTTAGGATAGATTATAAACTAACATTATTGTAGTTCTTTTATTTATTACAAAGATATTTTGGTCTTTCTGACCATGCAAGACAAAGAGCTATATGTTTAATATAACATAGTATAAGATTTAAATTAGTAAGTTATTGCATAGATTTTGTATGGAAAGACAGCAGACAATTTTGCTGGGACTAATTGCAACCATTAATATTTTGTTCTCGTACATTTTTGGAGAGTAAAATGTATATTTAAAATGCAGTGTACATTATTTAATTATTAAGTATTGAATCAATATTATATTAAATTTTTCAATATATACGTTCCTGAAATTTGTTTATTATATACGTTCTATATAGTACACCACATTTACAATAATATGAATTACATTTGGGGATAAAAATATACCGCAAAGGCAAGGTGAAAATCTAATATCTGTTAATTCAGTTAAATAAACCTGGAAGTACAATCGAAGTTCAAGTTGAAATGGCGTGCAAAATGCGTCAAAACTAAGTTCAAACCAACTTGAAATAGGACGACCTCGTCGACCTTTAACACGTGCTTTCATGTGATATGTTATATTTTCAAATTGTACTATGTTATTGCATCTATTATAACAACAGACACTCAAAACAGCTTCTTCTACAAAAAATATTATTTACTTACCAAAGAAATATTGCAATTTGGGCTGGAAAAGTCCCTCAAAACACCTCTGAATAACGGAAAATTGTAAAACGTGTTCTCAACTTTGCAGCCAACTTAACTTTCAGTTTTGAGCCGCGAGTTCGGTCAGCTGCCAACATGCGTCACGACGCGTCACTGCCTTGGCGCAGAATATGCAAATTAGAGAAAAACCATACCGTTGTTTTAAATAGCAAATGAAATAAATTGTGATTACCAGTATGCAAAGTTTAACAAATACTTATTTATTTTAACTGAACATCGTTTAGAATCTCTCAAATGGGAACATTTAGACATCCTGAGAAATTCCTTTTTAATTCACTATTATTAGCAATTCAGCTTAATGATTTTTGTAGTAATTGTCTTATTCTGAGCTGCATTTTTATGCGAAATGTGAACTGTGTTTCTCCGCTTTTCAGCGTTTTCCATAGTCAACATTCAATATAGTCTCAATCAGGCCGCTCATCTCACCCAAACATTGCCTCACGTCCTCAAGGTATTTCAAGTAGCATGATTCATCTTGGACCATCTTTGCTACGTTCCCACGCAATCGCTCCACACGCGTGACGACACGCGAGATCCCACACACTTGCACTCGACATAGCTCGGCCAAAACCCTATTGAACGTACCATAATCGTTTCCAAGCTGAATTTTCAAATGACGAGATAATTCACGTACAGAGCGAATGCATGGCACCTCTTGACCATAGCATTCTACGTTTTCGAATATCAAATCGAGCTTTGTGATAGCTTTCAGAAGAAACTGGAGATTATGGCGGATTTTTGTCTCATTGGAAGCAGGCCTAATTCGCCCATTTTCGATTTCGAATTCAGGCTGATCGTTGTTTCCGTTTGAAACTAATTCCAATTCTCGATTTCTGGCCTTTGAGCTGATATTCATCTCGTTACCCCGACGCCATGCAGTCAAATATGATGCTGAACACCCAAGTTGTTTTGACGTTTTGTGACAGTTTATAGGGCGTATTCAACGTGAATTAATTAGAAGATAGCTCACAGGTGTTCTCCTCTATGGGCGTTTTCGACCCAAATATATTGATGAAATATTAGCAGTGTCTAGGCATGAACTCCGAATTAGACAGCTCCGGTTGATTTCAAACTGTTTTGTACACGGATGCTCAAGTAATGATACTCGAGCTCCAGTGTTAACAATATTTAGTGTTAGAAAGGGATACCTCGAACTTTTAGGGAGATACTTCACTTGTGGTATCCAGTGCAACATATAAGGTTTTAACGTACAAACACAGCTAACAAGCAGAATAAAATATAGGAAGTCGACTTATTGAAATTGACGTACATACAGACTTATATTTGAACGCGAGTATTCGGTATTTTCAGCCATCTAGCTATACAGGTTAACGAATTTCCTCGAAGTAAAATTTCATTTCAGATTGAAAAATTGTTGTCGAGTATCTCGTTGTTTTTTAATTCTTAACTAACAATTATCCCTTCCGGTTCCTGGGAAATTAAGGAAACAAAAATAACTTCTACGCCATGCCCAAGAACAGGTGCCCAAAATATAATATTTATTTTTACATTATTACTTCCTGCAAAGGATTCCATCAAGCATAGCGAAACGCATAATTGTTTCAGAAGTCATAGCTATTAGGCCAAAAATATTCCTTGTTGCGATTTCAACGCTTCATTGCCCAGCTGCGCAGGATTTCCAGCGGAACCACAACCTGCCTCACGGCTTACCGCTTCACTTCCTTTATGAACGCAAAGTGAAACCGGTAAAAATTTTATTCTATTTCGCTTGCTACAAGATGCTCTGTGCTGGACCATAATGTATAAGGGAAATACGGAATTTAGAACTGAAACATCTAGCTATTTACTGAAGGTTTGACCTGTTGATTTTGAAGGGGAAAAAATGAAGCAGATATCGATTATTCATATTACTCTACTTATAATAGACTTGTAGTTTTCATCAGGTTTCGGTTCCTAGTTTGTTTGAACACCTAAACCTATATAGTAATTCCAAATAGAAATTTATTATTAAGTCTTTTCATAAATCATATGTGGTTCGATTCAGCGTTCTCACTTCTAAGGAAATTTCCTTAGAAAAGTTTGACTATGTCGACGGGAGGGAGAAATATCTATTATATTCTTTTCAAATGTTCTTTGTCTCGGGTTATTCCAAACAACCTCCCCCACAGTAAAAAGTATGCATATTTGTGAGAGCACAGGTTCGATTTGCCATCAACATCGATATTTCAATAGACATTGGACAAGCATGCCCTTTTAACAGTTCAATAGCAGATTCCTCATGCAATATCCTTCTCGAAAATTACCTCGAAAAGCGAATGAACCTCTGGCAAGCAAGTGATATCCGCTCTCTACTTTATACGCGCTTGTTATGCAAATTCTTTTAGGGTGTTGGCGCACTCTCTATTGTTGCCACCAGATACCAGCAATGACATCAGTCATAGCTCAAACCACGCCCGTGCGCAAGAAGCGATGCGGGCCAGATGCATCACTCGGCTAACTAGCTCTCTGGATACTTCGACAATGGGTTAAAAATCCAACTATTTGTTGAAGATTTAATGCATGAGCTTCGACAATAGAATGTGAAAAAATTTAGCCCAAGGACGATTTTTGTCGAGCGAAGAAGAAACAGAAGGATCTTAAAAGCAGAGGTGAGCATGTCCCAAAGTACCTGGAGTGTCAATTCTAAAGGGGATCGTCGCAGTAGAAATAGGCGAGAGTAGGTTTTCCGTTTAAGAATTACATCACGAGCTCTTTCGACAAGAATGGAGCATATATCTATATAAGTTTACGCAAAACAAGTGGTGTTAACAAAAATCGACCCCAATGAAAGCATTTAAATTTAGAGTTTAATGATTATGCGACTAGATTGTTTTTTTGGGGGCGGACATTTTGAAGATCAAATGCGTGATACTTTTCACAAGAGAATATGATATTTTTCACAGGAGAGTTTGAAGTGGATCTGAAGTGAGCAAGCATGCTACGAAGGCTGTTGCTGGGACAACCTCGACGCGAAGAGAAGGAAGCGAAGAGGGAAGAGTTGTGCGAGAAAGATGAGCGGTATAAATTTCATATCGAATGTTCTAATGATCTATTGCGCAACTGCAGATTGGGTGCATTCTCTTTACCTGAATGAAATTTTTATACCAAGACGTATTTCTATATGTGTTTCCTATTTGTTTCCACATGATAGCACTCCCATTGTATTGGAAGAGAAATCAAAGGAAATAGATAATATATCAGACAGGTAGGAGGAATTGTCTTCTTCTGAATGAATGTGAGTACCACATTACCACAGGTTGACAACGTAATAGTTCTTCGGTTAGCTCAATTGAAGTTCTCTCCCAGACTAGATATGTATACCTATTCTTATTTCTCGTTTTTGAAAGTCAGTTTAATGCTCGGTTACAGGACAATAACACAATACAAACCCGAACAACGACAATGGCAAAAACCTTTCACAAACAATCACCAACCACGACAACTTTGGCGGACTAACTTGACTGTAACGAAGTACAAGTGACGTAAGAAATAACATAATACTAAGGCATATGACAAAAAATTGAATTGCCCATCACGAAAAAGATTTTCTTCGTTCTTTCCTGAACTATCTCCTAAAATTGTGAACCAGTTACACTGGCATTATCTAAAACGTATTTACTTTCCGAGTTTGCGTGAACATAACCACATATATTTGTAAAAAGATTTGATGAAGATTGCTCGAAATATTTCAGTGATTTGGAGACAGATGAGAGCGAAACAGAAGACAGTGATACGGAGACTCTCGACAATTCGAGCAGATCTGGCAGTTTTGAGAATTGCTCAGGAGACCTTTTGCAGTGGAAAGGGTTTGAAATGGTGTGGGATGCAAGCCTACGCGAAAGTACAGAAGGTGGCACCCGGGTTCACAAAGCCGGGAAAGCGAGGAATACCAAAGATAAAATCGACCCAAGAAAAGGCGAGGCAGGCTACGCCAGCGCAGGTAATATTGTCTCAAATGATTTCTAAATATTAAGATAATACAATTGATGTTTGTTTGTGTGTTTCCTTTACAAGGCGAATGTAGCAATGTGAAAAGGATCGACGAAAATCCATTTGCTATTGAAATCCTAGAGAGTGACCTATCAAATATCCAAGAGACAGTCAGCCATCAAAGCAACACCCAACAAGACATCAATGACACTTTAAACAACGCTAACAGTAGCATTAGCACAGCCAACAACAATGATAACAACGGCCTTGACAATACCATCAGCAACAATGGCAACATCACTAACAAAGAAGACAGCAATAATAACAACAATGAAACTCGAAATACGCCAGTAAACCCAGTAAACAACAGTACAAAAAAGACAAATTTAACTTCAACAACAAATGCAGTTAGGAAAACAACAAACAATACTATGAATGCCAACAATAACATTTCTAAACAAAAACAAACAATTAAAAAACAAACTGCTCTGGATTACAACAAATCAAAACCGCCATTACGATCCTCAAAACCATCAACAAAGAATCACATCAACTCTGGTACAAAATCCAACGCCATTTCCCGCCATTATTCAAGCAATCCCAACCAAAAATCGCCAAACATCAGGGGGAAAACCGCAGTTAAGGTTACAACAAGTGAAAAGTCCCGTGCTTCAACGAATATTCCTGGAGGTCCCAAAACTCGACAACTTCAAAATTCAACGAGATGTAAAGGAACTTTGGTTGATAAACAACGCATGAGCACTGGAAAAAACACAACGGGATCAATTGGAGCTAAAAGTGGTGGAAACTCAAGACAATCTAAGCCTAATCTTTCCAACGTTTCCGTGAAAGATTTGGAACAAATTCTCGGAGTGAATGTGACAGAATTGCGAGAGGTTATCAAGAAATTTAAGTCCGAGGAGAATGAAGACTCATGTGGACAGTGTGAAACAGCTCAGGGAAATTTGGGATCGCCAGGGATGGCTGAAGATTGTATGATTGGGTCAGAAAAGAGGCAAGATCCATGCAAAGATGATCAGATGAAGACTGGTAAATGTGAAACAATGGATCATAAAGGTTAGCGAGAATCCACAATTTATTATCAACAGATGTACCTCTTCTTTAGTAATACACAAAATATATTTTAGATGAGATCTCCAGTGACAGTGGAGTCAGCGAGCCAGACGCCAACAGTACAGACGGTCAGCCACGATACATCACACTAAAGACTATTGTTAAGCGCAAGGAGTACCTCGAGGCTCATCTTAAGAAGCTGGAGGATCGCGTGGTGGTAATGGAGGATCACAAAAAGGACATTCAGTTTGTTCACGATCTGTTTGACCTTCATAGTGATGGACTGGAAAAAGTCGAGAGAAGCACTGGAGGAGTTGCATGTGTAACCAACTTAAGAAAAATTCTGGGTGGGTATTGGCGAGGTTTAGCCTTTTAATACTTTACCCTGAAAAAATTGACACAATGTTATTGAATTCTGTCTTAGTATGCCAACTGCGTGAGATTGACGAGGAAGAGGTGAAAGCAAAATTGAAACATCTCGAAGATCTCGGAATTCCAAGCTTCTCTGAAATCAACGCAAGGATTGAGAAATTCCGCAATCGAATTAATCGCACCCTCGAAGATGAGCGCAAATGTCGAAGTAAGGGAGTGCAGAAGTTGAGATTTGAAATTGGTAAAATTCAAGGAATGTGTGAGGCGGTTTTGGATTTGGTGTTTACAAAATAAATGAACATGTCAAAAGGGTTTCAACAAGTTGAATATATAGATAGTAGTTATAGTCATATATTTTATTCATTTTTTCCTATAGTTTCTTATATTTTTTCTCAATAGTTTTTTAGCTAGTATATTTACCTTTAAATAAAGTTTTTATTGAGCGAGGACTAAATCGTTATATTTGAATCGATGAAAAGTGTAGTGCGACTGAGAAGTAATTTGATTAGCTACGACCTTTTTCACATATTTAATAACATAACCATCAACTGGCGTGTGCATGTGTTCTGTTCCCTAAAATGTACCCTAAAAATAAGTGCGTTCAGTTGAAATAGCAGTCATTTGGTGCACGATGAGAAAATTAAAATGGGGTACCTGTCACCTAGCATGATATGAAAATTAAAAATATTGCTTGGAATAAATTGGTTGGAATATGAGAAAATTAGACTCATGCATTTATATAGTTCGTGCGTGAATGTGCGCATGTACAGAAAGGTTGAAGCAAAACGGAGCGATCCTACAAATTAAGTTCAATTATACTTTGGACCGGAGCAAACACTTATGGTCCGTTTCAAAGGTTGAACATGTAACGGACGCCTTAAGGCAAAAGCCGGACAAAGGTTGCTTTATTTCTACTCATACGTGTTTTTCATACCCATGCACGTAACGGAAAATGCTTCTAAATTTTCATTACTCAGTAAGACATATATTGAGGACATGGTAAGCAGGCATAGCTGCCTTCGTCCAAACCTATCTGACAATATTCCAAATACCAGTCCTCCCGAGGTAGTATTTTCATTACGGACGAGCAATTGAGACAGTTATGCGAGAGCTGTTACAGGAAGTTTAAAGATTAGTGAATTATATAAATGAGGAACAGTGGTCGTTGATTCGTAACGTCTTTAGAAATTTTTGCCTGAAGGTCAAATCATTGAACAGTTAAAGAAATTTGTAGTTATATATTTATACTCTTTATTTATTCTAACTAAATTATTTTATCTTTTCTCGATAGTTTTGTAGCTAGTATTCTTACACGTTAAATAAAGTTACTATATAGACAAGACAAAATCATTCTATTTGAATCAATGCAATTTAAAATTGATTTGGATCTTCAAGAGTGGGGAACTTGCAGCTAAACTTAGATGACGTCATATTTTTTCAGTAAACTTCATGAGCGAAAGACGCAGCATTTTCAACAAATATCAAATATACACTTCAACGTGCACCAGTCTATACTAACCTGCCTTACCGAGTACTTTGAGCCAAATAGCAATTCAATAAACATTTTTTATGACTGTACAATTGTAACTTATAGCACTGGCTTATTAAAATAGACCGGGAAATGTGCCCTCTCGATTTTGTCAACATCTGTAGAAGAAAATAAATAAAAATAGGGTATGATAATCAATGCAGAGCATAAACTTTGCTTGGGGAGGGGGGCAGGGGGCAGGTTAATGATTTCAACAATGACTCACGAGCACAAATTGCCTTGTTAGTTGGGGGAGGGGAGAGGGATTCCTCCCTGCCTTGTATATGATACAGAGATTTGATTCAATGTCGACGGAATATCTCAGTGGAGGATTATTAGCTTTACTTGAAGCCCAGTGTTGGATATTTGTATTGCCAAGTTTTGATATTGAATTACTTCCAGGTTTAATGTAATAGTAAATTGTCTTTACGTACTGTGAGTGCATTTTGCACCAAAGTGTTTTCCATCGCATCTGCAAGTCCCTGACGAGAAATGGCATCCTCCATTCGGCAGGCAATCGCATTTGCTAGAGCATTTGATACCGTAGTAACCACGCTCGCATCCTAAATTCAGAAACATTGAGAAACGTTTAGCTATCGAAATTTAAATATCTTAGATAGATATAATGCATTTGCGTTCATATTCCAAGGACGTACAGCTTGTTCCTATTTGTCTTAAACATAGTAATTTCATAAGGTGGAGTCTATCAACTAATCTATCAGCACCATAACATTAATATTTGCACCGGACCGGACATTGCTCGAATCACGTTTGGAAGCCGTCCATGCTCTTATGAAGGTGTTTGACGACGAAACCGCTGAATCACGGAAGAAAACACTGACGTAACCTAGAGCAAGGCTCCTTCTATATTCGCTTACAACTGCATTAGCAAGAAACACAATCCAACCTACTTTTTTCACACGCATCACCAATTGAACCAGAATTACAAATACATTCCCCAGTCACGTGATCACAATGCGTTCTCGCACATTCACAATGATAGAGACAGCCGTAGCCATAGCGACCAGTGGGACAACCTAGAGTAAGTGAATGATACTAGCTGGACTTGTATCTTCCAATGAAAAATTGCGCCTAACTGAGGCTGGCTTCAAAGAGAAGGTGGGAAAATAACAACATTCAATAGACTTATAGAGAATATGAAATGATTTCAGGTTAGACCAAAGGTGGACTTGTAGGACGATTGTAAGATAAAAAGCCAAAATTGTACGTTTGGTTAACAATACGTATGTAAAGGTTGTACGTTTTTGTTAACAATACGTACGTATTCTACAGTCTCTTCCAATCCAACCAGGAAGACAAATGCAAGCTCCCGTCTCAGGATCACAAGTAGCACCATGTCCACAGTTACATATCTTCTCACAAACTGGACCATATCTGCCCGCAGGACAAGCTTTGAAAGGAGGAGAACAAGATTTTAAAACCTGCTTTTCAATAAGAGTTTCGGCCATGGTATTTTTTAATGATTTAGTAATCCACTACATTGTCAGAATACATCCAAAGAGATTAACTTACCAGTTTCTTATAAATCTAATCATAGAATAAGAGTCACGAGTCTAATTACATACCATGTTGACAGGCATGACCGTAATACCCCGCTGGACAGTTACAGCCACCTGTTATTTGATCACAAGTCCCTCCATGTTGACACGAACATTCCAGTTCACAGTTTGGACCAAAGCGCCCAGTAGGACATTCTAAATATATGATAACTTTCGCTGACAAATGTATGATATATCTCGCTTTTGAAACCACAAAATCCTCGTTCCAAGTGCTATGTTTATCTACGTCATGCACTCTAGCAAATAGCGCAGGAGTACGTGGAAAGCATGAATGGTAAAAGGTAGAATTGTCTGCGCTAAGGTATAATACGTAGAGGACAGTAATATATAGGAGAAGACGGAATCCATTAATCAACAAATCCTTTAATGGACGTTTCCCAGACCCAGGAACAGCTGAACATCTATATTACCTTCTTCACACAACTCTCCTGTCCATCCGAGTCCGCAGTTACAACGACCTGTGGCCTTGTCACAAAAACCGCCATTTTTACATTTGCACTTCTCTTTGCAACCCAAACCATACGTACCAAGTTCACATGCTGAAAGAGATTATTATTTATTAGCAGTTACGTGCATATGTTTAACAGCTTACTTTGAATGTTTTGCGTAACGTAGAAATTGCCAAACTTATCTTGGTTGACCTGGGCGAAACATTCTCGTCTGCTCCAGGGTGATCTGTTTGGGAGTGATAGGCTCTCATCTGATCCTGGTAGATCTGACCTGAAGTGAACTAACACGATGGGATTGGAATATTATTAATTTCTTTTCTCACCTTCATCGCAGTGTTCACCAAGGTAACCAGGTCCGCACGTACAGGTACCTCGCAACCTATCACAAGTGCCATTGTTCTTGCATTTACATGGTGAAGAGCATAGCTGACCAAACCAACCTTTCGGACAAGCTACCAGAATAAAAATAAAAATGAATAGACTGCAAACGATGATAGATGATCCAGAAAGATACTAATAAGTAAACAAGCAGTGATCTGACAGTGCGGGGTTGCTTTTGAGCAGAATTTATGAAGAATTGCTGAGACTATTTACTACAGTAATAGACCAAAAGCTGATAGATTAAATTGGACTAGAGATTGATTAATATTAGTATACAGTAATATACATAGAGCAAAGATGATACAGTGATGCAGAAGATGGAGGAGTCAGATGTGTAACGTACGTTTCTCACAATTTGAGCCAATCCACCCCACCGCACAGCGGCATCTGCCCGTCACATGATTGCATCTAGCGTCATTCTGACATGTGCAGTTGAACCGACATTCATGCCCAAATTTTCCTTCAGGACAATCTGAAATACAAGGGCGGAAACATTCGGTTGTTGTGAGATGATAATGAGTTCTTGTTAACTAACTGGATGGACGGAGTTCCAACAGTGGCTGACAACCACGTGGAACAACAAGTGGTCTGCGTGTCGTGTTGACGTACCTTCACTACACCGCTCTCCAGTATAACCCAAGGCGCACCAACACGTTCCATTATACGGATCGCATTTTGAATGAGACTCGCACGGACAGGTGATGTTACAGTCTGGTCCATAGAAACCATGCTTGCAAACTGTAAACAGAATGCAAACGCTGCCGAATAGAAACTTGTAAAAAGTTAAAAAAAAATTTCGTACAAAATTAGCTTAACAGCCTGGAAAGAACTCCTGGAAACTCTTAAATGGATTACCTCTTACACATTTTCCCGTAATATGATGGCATTGTTCATGCTTTCCTGTACAAATTTCACACTTGTACCCGCAGTCCAAACCGTAGGAGCCTTCGTCACATTCTGGAACAAAGGAATTGACTCATAGATCGCTTTACATCGACTAAGCACGATCGTATGAGAAGTTATAAAAACATAAATAATGAAGAAACAAAAACATCAATCATAGATAAGCTTGAGTCTCGTCTCGCGAGAGTATCATAAATCGGAATCTGGAAGGTTCCCCCCCTCACTTTTCTCACTGCTACTTACTTTCTCTGCAGTCAGGTGACTTCCATCCAGGAGGGCAGACACACCTTCCCGTGGCAGCATCGCAATGAACCCCAGGGATGCAATCACATTTGTTCACGCAATAATCACCGTAGGTTCCTTCAGGACAATCTGGCGTGAAAATATATGATTGGATTTTAAAATTCGTCTACTCTGTGGACAGTACAACAATCACTTCCCATCTTCGCTGTGAATACAGAATAGCTAGTTAGGTTTCTATGTATGATAAATAAAAGGCCGAACGTTATCCTTAATTTTAAGAATTTTTTAAAAAACGTTGCCCACCTATACTGCAGTTCTTCCCAGTCTTCCCAGCCGGGCACGTACACTTTCCAGTGATTGGATCACACTTGGCTTCACAATCACAAACCTCGAGACAATTTAAACCGAAGCGATCCGGCGGGCACTCTATAAACCACAGTATAAAAGTAAATGATACACTTGACTAATTCACTAGCAGTGCACTGCCACTGCTGAATAAAGTTGTTCGAATCGTCCAAACTCCAAAGTAAAATACTAAATAGAGAACGTTGCTAGCTCCTGGATTAACAGTTGGACCCTCCAGAAACCTTTGGAGGAGAGGAACTATCTTTTGCATGGCTGGTGACTTAATGAACAAATCGTGATGTTTACAGTAAACAGAGTATAAAATGTTAATTTTTCTTTGAAAGACTTTTTCAAAATCTCACCTTCTTCACAATGAGCTCCTAGTCGTCCCGGAGGACACAGGCAGTCACCTGTGATTGGATCACAACGCTTCTCTACTGCACAATTACACATCCCCCTACACTCCTTGCCATACATACCACTCTCACATGCTAGGAAAATATAAATACTGTAATACAACGCTGTAATATTTTAATGTACACCTTGGTGCATGTAGTAGATAAAATGTTGCCAAATAACAGACACAGATGCGTCAAGGAAATACGTCACCTTACCCTCTTCACAATGAAAACCTTTTCTTCCCTCTCCACAGTCACACTTGCCAGTCACAGGGTCACAGGTTTCCTCACCTACACATTCACACAACTCTTGACAACCCCGACCAAATGTTCCAACTGGACAATCTGTGAGACGAAAACATGATGAAGTGTAAAACAAGATTAAGACTCGATCACTCGTGTATACATTACGTATAGTCTAACATGTACCTGTATCTCCCTATCTACCCATATCTATACCTATGTGTTTAAAGAAAAATGACTAGAATATTACGTTTTCTTCTTTGCAATCGTTGCCAACTGGATATGTTACATCTAATACGTAAAACTTACCATTTTCGCATCTCTGACCAATCTTTCCATCGGGACAAAGACATCTCCCATTTAATGGATCACATGGGATATCACCAGCACAATCACACTCTCCTTCACAGTTATCGCCGTACATTCGATATGGACACTCTTATTGAAGCAGAATAGAACCTAATAGGTTACTGTGATAAGCAACATGTTAAAAAATATTATAGTTTACCTCTGTCGCATTTTGGTCCAGTCCTTCCACGCGGACACAAGCATATTCCGTCAGTTGGCCGACATCTTATTCCTGCTGCACACTCACAACGGCTTGTACATCCATAGCCATAAGTACCGGGGGGACAGTCTAAATTAGAAAAAAAGGTAGTTAATTGGAAGTGTAGTCAGTAAGAAGGGTACACAAACATGCGTTTCTATCAAGTGGGTTGTGAATATATCACAAAATGAGGCAATAATGTGACTGGCAACTTCATCAAGTCCTGCAGGTAATACTTACAGCTTGTGCAATTATCGCCAATCAAGCCTGCTGGACATACGTACAAGCACGTGCCAATAACATGATCGCATTCAACGTCTACTGGGCATGCACACCTCTCAAGACAATTCTCACCAAAGTAGCCTGTCTCGCATCCTGGTAGAAGAGAATATATTGAAGGTAACGTAATGTGTGGTCCTTCCTTTCGTAATTGTGTAGGCACTATGCAAACTGATAGAGATCGTGTGTATATATCCATTCATCCCGTAGTCTTACTTTCATCGCAAAGCTCAGATATGTATCCAGGTTTACAAATGCATTCTCCAGTAACACGGTCACACTTTATCGTTGTTTCTTCCGCGCATTTGCATGGCTTACATCCGATCCCAAACGTACCGTTACGACACTCTAAATAACCACACGATGACAAATGCTAGAGAACTAGCACTGAATTGAAAACTAAACTTATACACTATAATCCAAGTATTCAAACTAGGTGGCAATGATAGTCTCATAGCATACCATTTTCGCATCTTGCTCCGGTATACCCGGGTGCGCATGTGCATTCCCCAGTCACGTGATGACAATGGGCCCCGTTCTCACACGGACATTCCTCTTTACAATCTTGACCATAGAATCCAACTGAGCAACCTGCAATAAAATATTTACAAGTCGTTGACCTTGCATAGCATTCATTTCAGCGTTTGTTCAATTCACTTTGACTCAAATCATTTTCCCAAAAACGAATAACTGAAATGAATGCTTGAAGTACAGCAGTTTGCATGCATGGAAATGTCTAATTTCCTGATCAGCATGTTAGTGTCTATAATTAATATCTATAGATATTCGTGTTGATTCTGTATCCTAATTTATTGCTATCAAAATTCCAAATATAAAAAAATCAGAGACTTACGTTCGGCACAAAATTCACCAAAAAATCCAGGTGCACATACACACGTGCCATTCTCGAGATCACAATACGCTTCATTGAGACAATCCTCACATGTCAACGAACACTTAGGACCGAAGGAGCCTTGAGGACAACCTGTTTGAAGAATAGAAGATTTTAAGGTAGAATTCTGGACTGTACACAAGAATAAAACCCAGTGGAAATAATTTGCACAATCTATGGAGCTCTTCCATCGGATTTTATCGCAAGGGCAAGCTTACGTGGAACAGTATCATCTTCAATATTTCTTCTATTACCACCATCTCCTGAGGTAAAGGTTAATGGTCGTGTGGTCGGCATGGCTAAGGAGACAAAGATATATTGATTGCAGTAGCTCATTGCTGGTTAAAGGACGGAAAGTGTTAAGCCGTAAGTAAAAAGAAAATAAACCTCGACAAGTCACTTGATCTTGTTGCAGTTCAAATCCTTTTTCACATTCGCACGTGTAAGAGCCTTCATTGTTCACACATCTCTGGGTACATTTTGAGGCTTCCTGAAATTGAAAAATGTGTGACACAAGGTGTTTTTGGCGCATGGTTCAAAGTCTTGCAATTTCTCCAGTTTAATTCTCACCGTTTTGCATTCGTCAACATCTTCACACGAGAGGGTATCATTGACTTTGCTTGTAAAACCTTCCTTGCACAAACACCTGAAAAGTAAAGAATATCATGAAATAATTCTTACACATGAAATAACGTGAGATGTATCCTCATAATGTGAAAAAGCTTAGCAATCACATACAGGCAAATCTTTCACTAGGCAATATGACTTACCTGTAAGAACCAGCTGTATTTCTACAATAATGTTGACAGCCACCGTTTTTATCGCTGCACTCATTTTTATCTAGGGAAATGTATGATATTGCATTGATCAATTAATCAAGCATGATGTAAAACAAACTGGGAACAAGACATTACTTCGACGTTCTATAGTTTACCTGCGCAGGATTTTCCATTGGACATGAGTTTAAAGCCAGACCTGCATTCACATTCCTCTTTGTAACTATCCACGATCAGGCAAGTGTGATCACAGCCACCGTTTCTTTCACTGCACGGTAAATGTTCTGCAAAAAGAAAAAGGATTAGCGGAACTGGAACATGCTTCCTTCCTTTGATAACATCTGCCAACCAGGACCTTGTATTGGTGTAGTCATATAGAAGTCCTGTTTATAGGGTAATTTCCGTATATGTTTTAACCAAACTATTTGTTTTAAATGTGCTGAAGTGCATGCACGATGTATGAACTGGATGTCACTCACCGTCGCAACTTCTCTTATTACTAGACAGTGTATATCCAGACTGGCAACCGCATTTAAATGATCCCTCTGTGTTCACACATGTATGTTGACATCCACCATTGTTCTCCTTACACTCATCTGAATCTGAAAAATTCCCGAAGTAGTACAATTAGACTAAATCTGTTGTCGTTGCTTCGCTATTGATTACACCTGGACCAGATGATTATTCATGGATTATATGAAGCACATCCATTGATTGTCAAAACTAAACAACTAAATCAGTCTATCAAATTTGTTAAAACAACACACAAACCTTTGCAAGAAACGAAGTCCCGCGACAAAACATACCCAACCTTACAATCGCACACCACACCATAATACGTCTCCTTACAAATATCCTCACAACCGCCATTTCTGTAATTGCAACTATTGGATAGCCGAGAGCGCCGTTGATCGTATGGATGGGGACGTTCTCGTGTTGAATCACTTCCAGCAGTGTATCTCCTACTAGTTCCTCCTGAAATGAACAGAGTGGATAGTGGATTAGCATAGTTTGTTATATTCAACAAGAAATAGTAAAAGTGTCATTGCCATTATTAAGAAGAGTTGTTCCAACAATTTTTTCAACTCACCTGAACACGTTTTCTTATCAGCAGCTAGAGTAGACCCACTTGGACAACGGCATTGGTATGAACCTGGTAAGTTGACACAAGTATGACTGCATCCACCATTTGATGTGCTACATTCATTCACATCTATACACAATGAAAGAAGATCAAGGTTATAATTATCAAAAGATTGGTTTTCCACTCCGATAGATTATTCTCGGGACCATAACAAGCCGATAGTCTTCCTAGAAGTAAAAGCTTAATTACGAAAGGAAATTGTCTTACCTAAACAACTTTTCTTATCGCTCTGCAAGGTATAACCAGCGTTACAAGTGCAGTAATACCCGCCAACGGTATTACAACAGTTTTGTTCGCATCCCCCATTCTGAGTCTTGCATTCATCTGTGTCTGAAGATTAGAAAATCACTGGAGTATCGTCGTACGATTAAGAAGAATTAAGGTAGATCAAGTCTGAACAATGCTCAATGTCATCGCGTATTTGAGATCTCGTATTGTTAAACATAATTAAACAAGCGTACCATATTCACAACGTGGTCCTTGAAATCCCCTGGGACAAATACACCCAGTAACCCCTCCGGTACATCTTCCTCCATGATAACACGGACGAATGGTGCACACACCTAAAAATCGTTGAAAATACAATGAAACGAAACAATATGTAATACTATAAGACGAAGGATTTTGAAAATCCAAAAAGGCTTCTTCTTTCACCCCCTATCATAGTTATAGTTTGCAAATGATAGGAGAATTTCACTTCCGTTTCATGGCCCTGACTTAAACAATGTTGATAGGATAATTGCCAGTAATCCCTGACGTCAAAATTAACATGTGACTTCGGACCATAGAAATGGTCACGGGGGTAGAAATTATTTTAAAAGTCACTCACTCAAAGAACAGCCAGGTCGATGGGGATACTGGGACCAACCCTGACAACATTGGTATTCCGTTCGGTATTCAATCTTCGGTTGATTGCGGTATGTTGTATAGTAGAAAGTCCTGGAAATATTATAAGATTCGATGAAATGGTATGAAGTAATGGTGTACACATAAACTCTTGTGAAACGAATCCACTAGACACCCACAAAACAAGTTTAAGGAGAAATGGACGTATAGAATTGTTTTGTGGAAGCATTTGCACTCCTCAATCAAATCTCAACTTCCTTTTCTTATATCATTGTTGTGGGGGCCATCTAGAGCTCTGAATCTACATGGACACCGGGTAAGAATAAGCCTGAATTCACCCCAGATCTTAATGTTAGTAGTGGTCCGTGTTTTCATCCTACACATGAGTGACTCACCGCAACTGCGAGGTATAACACAACTCTCGTGGCCTGATACAGCCTGGTTGCATTATTCGAACATTCTTTGTGATGGTTTTTCTCTCTGGTTGTCGTTGATAAGACACAACTCGTCGTTGAAAGGAACAGACGTTCGGCCTACAAAGGGAAAATAGATAAAAAAATCGCGTAACTGCCTGTACGAGCTCAAACAATCTGTGACTGGAAAACACTGAGAGCGAAAAATCCCTCACAATCGTGTGAAAGAAGACGTTGTACATTTTACATTTGGAAAGAATAAAAATTCCGTTAGGATAATCAAGTGTCGCTACTAGTCCCTATACTTCATTCATTCAAACGCTTTACCATCGTCAAAATCGACTACTATATTACAATTGTAGTTAGCATCTTCCATTGTTCTCAGCAAGACCTCTTCTTTCGCAACATTCACCCCCCGTCGCGGGCCTTTAACACTTCGTTTGCGTTGAGAAATATCTGCCTTCAACTCGTTCAATGAACTCGCTTATTAGGTGTTAAATATGTTTACTGTTTATGTCAATTAAAATTTATACTAAAAATCATTTGGGTCGACTTTCGTCAACACATTGTACTACTTAACAAGAGCATAAATCAAAAGGCATCTAACATCGATAGCCAGTGTCTGTTGGCACGGTGGTGTGTTCCAAGGTCAAAATGTTATCATATTTGTCGATCAAATGAAATAATGTCGGGAAGGGATATTGCGGAATTAGCCTCTAACTCTTTGATGGGGATTTTTTGCCAAGTAGGTTTACCAGTTGTAACTGTTTGTGACTTAAATGCAAGCCAAGACACTGCATGATCATGGTTAAGTTAAGGTGAGATGGTGTAAAGATGTTCCAGACGTCAGGCCCTAATTGAATGCTGGCAACATCTGGGGGGAAACGTCCCTCGAATCCCTTATTATTCCTAAACGCATTCCTAGACTAAGACCCTATGGATATTTCTATATTTTGCAGAGAAATTGGTACATGACGTATCACTTCACAGGTATCACTTCAGGTATCATTGCCTCAAACTTCATCTATTAATAAGCAGGCAGCCTTTGAACGAGACGATATATGGACCTGTTATTATTGTAATGCAAGTATTATTAATTCGAACTGGTAAATACATTTCACCCTGTGTAAATGTGTATTTAAAGCTAAGTAAACAGCTTCCAAACCCTGGAGCTGTTTTTTAACGCGTATTCGACGCGGCAAGGACACTGGTTAATGAATATCGCATTATTTTTACGACAGTGCCTTACAACATCACTTAATTAAAGTAATACGGACCATATATCCCTTGTTGAAAGGAATTCACAGTGAAATTGGTCTAAATGGTTTCATGCTAATTGCTAATCATACTAGCGAGGTCCAGATTTGAGTCTTTTGACCTCCACTACCACGTTTTCCACAACAGGTTCTGACGGGAACACGAACCAATCAAATGCCATAGCTCTATCAGATTAACCAATCACAAGCGCAATAGGAAAACCAAAAGTAGCGGCAGTGAAGTTAAATCTAAACCTCGCTAAAATCAATGATACGACGCGTTTTGCCTCCAAATTTGTAAAATTACCGCTTTCAATCTTTTCGTTAATCATTACGTCTATCAAAGCAAGCGCAAATTTCGTGTCGGCGTGTCTTTTAATTAACCAAAATCGATAAACGTTTAGTGCGAATCGCAAAAATATCACGCACGCTTTTCTGAAAATAAACGAACGCGCGATTCATGTTACCATGAACGCCATTTTGAGAATTATGCGCAAATATTTGACCTGTTAACCTTGAACGTGCGCGCTCGTATTTCTCATAAATTTCAGTTTTTAAACGAGATTTTAAAACAGACGGAAAATTGTTACTAGACGGAGTAAATGCGCTCTCGATGAACAAGTGTCTGCTGATGAAAGCTGGCAAACAAACTGACGATAGACGGACAGGTTAATAGGTAGATGCATGTAAAAAAATAACAGTGGCCGGTTGTAGGAACTAGGAAAGCTGGAAGCGCTATCCACCGGATAGTGATTAGTGATAGTGATTTTTTTAACCGTTGTTTACAGTCATGTACGATTGAAGAAACACAGTGTCGAGTTGTACAATGGTTCACTCATGGAACCGGCTAAACTTCAATACGAAAATAATTCATCATGCAGGCAAAGTAGCTTAAAAATGAAAACCGTTCACTTGTCGTTTAGATAGTGCCCTTTGTAGAAGATGATGCAGTTGAGCCCTGGTTGCTAGGACAATTCAGAATTACTAACTAAAGTAAAAAGCTGATGCGACAAACGATAGTTTGAACAAAATGTCGTGCGTTCTCTCGGCAGCAGTTGAGAATATGATTCTTCAGCACCATTTTTTATTGGAAAAGTTGTGAAAAGGTCAATGACGTTAAGCTTTCCGTAGTTAAATGTTCGGCACCCCGTGGGTAGTTTAAGTTATACGATGTGATTGATTATGGTTTGCCTTCGCAGACTGCACAGGTCGCGAAAAGACATGCATTAAATCGAAGCAAATCAGGCAATTTGTTCATTAGATATAAATAAGGTAAACAATAAAATCTGATCGAGGGAGTAACATGGAAACGTCTCAACTCCACGTACTTTACTTTTGAAGACAGCTAAAGAAGGAAACAGGAATTTCCGGAGGAGAAATCCCGCGGAGTTTGGTGTGTGTGGTTCAACATAATTCACACCACGGAATAGTATTTATGTAATCAGCCTGACCGTTGCAGGCAGCAGAAATTCTTGAGCCGTGTCGTCGCGTCATGTAGATCAGAACGACACATACAGATGCACCAATACACAAACACGCCAAGCACAAAACATTTTGAGTGCATGCACTTATGCTGACGTCTGAAACGATAGCACATTTCATAGCTAACAAATCAGTGCTAGCCTTTGATAGCTTAAGGAAAATGATAGGGTCATTTAATTGTGGCCTTTGTATAATTAAACTCTAGTTCTACGTAAACAACGATAAGACTTCTCAGCCTAAATCAAACTCTACTTACATTTGAGGGGAAAGCTGGTAACCCCAGCCTTGCGAGTTCACTTGCGCGACAACCAATGATAATATTACAAAAACATACGGTTCCATTGCTTCGTATTAACACCGCTCGATTGACCTGAGTGAAGAAATGAGCGAAAATTAGTTTCCGATTGTTCATAATTCCGAGGTTTCAGCAAGTGTTATGTAGCAACAGATGTGCCTAATTTCACTGATGATTAGCGAGGAGTCATTGAGAGCGTCACTGAGTAAACTCCTGTCAGACCTGTACCTTGAACGTTTATATTAAATGAGGTGATGATACAACGAGAAGGCAGAGAAAAGAGTTTGCTTTCTATTTCAATTCAGTTGCTTTTTCATGAACGGTTTATTTAAACAACACTTCAACATGGTTCTCATTACAAATATATACAATTCCCAGCAGCGCGTTTGTCCACAGCAAAATTTAACCGGGATGTGCCACCACAGTTAATGGTACCACGCACTGCACTCATACAATTACTGGATGGGATGGGAGAACTGTTAATGCTAATTCAGGAAGGCCATTCTAGATTTGTACTATACAGCGCAACTAAGTCCAGAAGCTTACCGAATACTTCAAAATGCTCTACCTTGCATTAGAGTTTTATCTCTGATCTGAAGCCAAAAACAAACTATATAGGACAATAGGCACTTGTAACTAGTGATAGCACTTGGACTACATTACACTGGAAGAAGCATCAGTAAAATTGCACCAATGCCACATTTCTCCCGCGTTCAGGCAAGCTGTAATTAATCGATTCAACTTTGCGCGCATTTACATACTATCTATGGCTTATTAAATGCTTATATACTCCACTCAATTTCTTGTCCTAATTTGGCCACTAAGCTGAAGTACTTCATTGTTTAATATAACCCGTTCGAAGAAATACTTTTAAGAAACCAAATATTCTCGATGTACTTAGTACAATATGTATACATCATATAACAAATTTGCCACGAAGGTGCGATGATATTCGTTTAATTTGTTACATAAATGAACGGTGACAAAATTCGAAAAAAAAACAATCCTACCTTGGAAACATAATTTTTTTTCAGTACGCAGAGACTTACGATAGTAAGGAATACCTCTGAAGAATATAGGTATCGATCCAAATGCAATGATTCAAAGCGCGCAGATCGATACAACAATAGCGCAAACAAACCTTACGACAAGTCAATGATACCACTGAGAGCTTTCTGAACTCCACGCAATGAACAAGCCGATACAACCGAGCACTTGAACGAATTCAATACGCACAAGAATCTTATCTGACTCAACCTCGCGTTCAGTTTATCTCCTTATCGATGTCTGACAGATGACAGAACCATTAAATCGAGCAAGCATCGGTTTCCGCTGGAGGCTATTTTGGACGTGAATGAAAGGTTACATATTATTTCTATCGTATGTTCATGTTTTCACAACACGGAGTTTGTTGCCTGCGAACATTAACAGCGTGAAATAGGATACACTTGCGGTGTGCGCGTGTGAACACACGAATTGCGCGCGTTGCAGACGAAAGATTTGCAAAGTATCGATGTTTAGGATAGCAACCTTTTAGCGGCTGACAACGAGCCGTTGACAGCTCGTTAGCGGACTGGTAACAAGCATTGCCAGCCACCTTCGGACACACAAAAGTTAAACAAAATTACAAACGTAATGTTAACTTATATTACAATATTTCCGAGTGCAACCAAAAAATTAACTCTATAACTGACGAATTGAATATACAATGTATACAAAACTAGTTCCAGTGACGTACGAAACGCGGAGTTTGGTATTAATGTGAATCAAGATGAGACAGTCTTTAGAACAATAAAAATTTATCTTTCTTTAGGAAAAAACCTCAACTATCCCATCCGAAAACTCCTATCGCTCAGACAGCATTTAGCAGTCACATTCTAATCGATGAATTCATTTAAATTACCAGATCAGTGCAGCTGTCTTACTAGAAAATAACTCGCGAAATAGATACTTCCTGAGTTTTCTTGAGTGCACACAAAACAATAGCTTGAAAACGAGGCGGGCAATGAAATTTTTTGTCAGTGGGAAGGTTATCATTGCCCGAAAACAAATTCTGAAGTGTCTATCATTACCATCGTGGAAGGCAGAAGTTGGACAGCAGTAAATATGCTTGGAGTTATTAAATATTAAAGTAATCTTGTTGTTATACTAAAGTTAATCTAATCAAATTTCAAATAAGTAATTCAAACGCGCACTTCGAAGATCCTTTGCAACACTTTCGGCTATTAAAACCGCACGGGGTTTTAATCGGCCCACGCTGGGAATGATTGAAAGATCTCTGACAATTTCTTTGTAATTTGGTATTTGATATTGCATATTAGAGTCAACGTGCCAATTGAAAGTACGAGCCATAATGCAATGAAAGTTGTTTGGAAAGTGTCCAACGGCTATCCGAAGCGTCACTTTCGCCCGCGGAACGTTGGATATTTCGAGGGCCGCGGAAGAGGTCGAGGACTGAGGAACATGCCCAGGGCTGAAGGATAGAAATATGGGGAATGGACCGAATGGTAGAGGATTGAACCAGATCAAGTCTGGAGGTTTGGACTTTGGAGGCATGTTAGTTGTATGCCTTTGCAACATACGACATTATCCTAGGTTCAAGTTTAAGTTCAATTACATTGCTTCGTGTAAACTGGGCAGGGCCCGCAGAGGCCGGTTGTATAAAGCTTTCAACATCATTTTGCGTAGTTAAATCGTAGTTAACTCAGAAATACATGACCCTGATTGCTCAATTCTGTCACTAACTATAGTTAAAAGTTAACTACGTTTTTATACAACCGGCCCCAGTAGACTTATTTCTAACTGTCAGTATTGAAAAACCCAAATCATGTATGTATCAAAGATACTACACAGGAATGAAGTACGTTTTCCTCGATCCTCGACTACGGTATGGATGAGTCAGAATTCAGAAACAGTCTGGAAAATTAATTGCTTTTTGCTAGCCCAAATTACAGACAGTAACTCTTCAAGATGGATGTAATTAATTTGATGTGAAGTGATGAGATCTTCAATTAAAGTAATGTAATAGAACAAATATATTGCTCGCAACAAAGCTACAAGAACGTTAATGGATGAAAAATTCTATGTGGTTTGTTGGCAATTGCACGAAATTTGGGAAATGATAAAAGGTTATAAACGCTTTGCTGAATGAAAGTTGAGCGTGCTGTCGAACATGTTATTATGAAAACTGATGTGTTTTGAATGATTAATGCAACAAAACAGTGTCATGGCAATGAATCGGTAAAAATATCTAACACACAAAGGTATTTTAAGCTATAAACGTAGCAGTAGCGATAGCTAGTTTCATCGTCGTTTTTTTCTAAGTATTTAATCACAGTTTTTCTCAGTATGCAAGGTCTTTATTAATGTCCAGGGTTTGGTATATATTAGTGCGATTCTAAAGCAGGGATCGACAAGGCTTATAATCTTGTTTTCTGGACATGGCTTAACTGACCATTTCCCATTCAATTTCCAATCAACACAGGTTCATTCAGTCTAACTGGCAGGTATTCGAATAGAAGAATTCTCTGCAATTAGAATTTCTCTTCCATGAAATTCACGCAATCTGTGACATGATACTTAGAGGCTGGTTTAAGTCCACTACCTCAAGCTTGACGAGTGTAAGTGGACCGAGTATATGTTGAAGCAAGGACGTCGCAGCGTTAGTGGCAAATAAATCTCATATAAAATTTATTTTATATATTAGATGCGTCGTAACTATAACATGCTCTAGCGATCAATTTATCATAGGCATATAGAAATAAGAGACAAACCTAATAATCCGCTTAATAATTTTAGGAAAACTCTTATAAACAATCTCATGTCCAGCAAACCAATGCGGAACAAACTCTATATTTCCTTCATGCAACTTATATTATGGTTAAGTAATTCACTAGTACCACTAAAGACATCTCAAGTGAGTCCCAAGCGTCCGCGGTTAAACATTTTGTACCTGACCAATATACCGCTGTCAGAAAAAACAAGAACATCACTGGCTCAATTCGAACGTAACCTCACAGAGAACGCAGGACTGGACCTAAATGTCCAACTGACAAGCCAAGTACTTTCGGAAAATGCTACAACTACGCTGGAAACACTTCACGAACTAAATAAATATGTGGGATGGAAGGAGACTAGGATTATTATCTTGAACATGAACAACGAGAAAATTCAAAGGATGATATTGTATGGTTATAATGGACTGGTATTTGACATACGAACAAGACCAACAGATATGAGACAGGTATATCAAAGTACCAAGTATTTTTTAGGGGGTGGGGGGAGCAAGTCATACCTGGGGCATGCATGTTCTTACATGAAATTTGATTGGCTCAGCAATAACACTACCTTGCTGCCTGAGCCAATAAAACTTCGTGTTCGATACATTCCCTTGCGCCCGGGTCTAAGTATTCCAGTGATCTTTTACAGATATCATACAATTCGTTCATCGTAAAACCATCGCTCACACGGCTTCACGAGGCGGTCGAAACGATTTTCGGCGAAATTGGCTACACGAATTCGAAGATACACGAAATTGATTGCTTTTCACGCAAAAATTCAGAAATCACAAAATTGAAACGAACGCTAAACGATATCAAAACCAGTTCCCATTCGTTCATATTCGTGAAATGTCCAGAGAATTTAGACAACGTCTTGAAACACGCCGACGAAATCGGTCTCACGACAAGCGATTTCCGTTGGGTCTTCCCTGGAGTAATAATCTTGAGTGAAATATCCAGTCACGTACCACAAAATGTGATAGCAGTAGACTTGCCAGGGTCACATGACCGATTTCAGCCAATCGAAGACGAGAATACGCTGTTCTTAGATGACGTGTTAAGCGTCCTGGAAAAGACGTTGGAAGAGAATTTTGATGTATTTTCTGAGGAAAATGGGTGGAATTTTGCAACAATAGCTACCTCATTGAAAAGGTAAGTTTCTCAAAGACGAAAGGACATGGAAATGATGGAAACTTGTAGCACATTATAGTTTAACTCTTGTAGATACATCGTGAAAGAGCAATTCCCAGGCCATTCTGGTGAAGTGAAGTTCAACGCAGAAGGACAACGCTCTGGAGAAATCTACGAAATTTTCGAGCTTGTAACATTCAATGGCGTAAACAAATGGCTTCCTATTGGTTCACTCGAGAAAGGTAACGTCAAAATCATGTTCAACCAATGGCGTTTGGAGGGCAAGAAATATGAAACGCCAGTTTTGCGAGTTGTCACAAGACTTAAACCGCCGTATCTGATGTTTGGTTCGGTTCAAGACCGGAAATCGACGGGCGAGTGCGAACAAGGCCGAATTTGCCGACAGTTTACGGGAATCCCAGAAAACCTCACAACCGGCGTTGTAACTGCTCCGATCCCTTCGACGAATACGTTAAATGACGAGTCTGTTACGACAACATCCGAATACAAATGTTGCACGGGGCTTATCATAGAGTTTCTTGAAAGACTAGAAAGTGACGTTGGATTCGACAGTAAAATTCATCTTGTGAAAGATGGGAAGTGGGGAAGCAACGACCCGAAGACGCAACAATGGAATGGAATGATTGGCGAGCTTGTCCGAAACGAAGCCGACCTGGCAGCGTCGACGCTTACGATTACCGCTAAGCGATCCAAAGTTGTGGATTTCTCATACCCGTATGTGGACGTCGCTAATGGCATATTGGTTTCCACGCAACCAGTATCGCATGACGTATGGGACTTTGCCTTTTTGGATACATTCAGCGGACACCTTTGGCTTGCATTATTTGTTACCATTCAGGTGATGTATTACAGAAACTAGACATTATCATTCTCCATAATCATTCATTATATTTACTGCAATTTTCCGTGCAGATTGTTATAGGCATATTGTGGTTAGCTGAGCGTCTTCGCAAGCGAAGAAGATTTCAGAATTTCCCGCACAAACGTGATAACTCCATCAGTTGTGCGCAGATTATCAACTACACGTGGTCACTGATGTTCCAGAAAGCGTCAGAGGAGGTGGGACCTACTACCTTGGGGGGGAGGACTGTGGCAGCTCTGTTCGCGTTCTGTTCTATCGTAGCTTGCAGCTCTTTCACAGCAAATCTCGCTGCGATCAAGGTAACAACAAAAGATGGGATTAGCATCAGTGGAATACGCGACCAAAAGGTATGAAATAAAGTGATGTCCTCATGAGCAAAATTTCTTCTTTTTTACAATTTTTGATTGTAAATCTTGAAAGGATCTTATTATTTATATAAATTTTCACCCGCCTTCTCTGAAAAATAACTAGCAACATTGAAAGGACAGGAAGGTTTTGCGGTTTTGTATTTTAACAAATTGAAGTCCACGATGTCTTCTTCCTAACAGTTTCAAACTGGCGAAATAAAAGTTGGGACGATCGCAAACTCTGCCAACCTGGACTTTTTCCGAGACAGCACAGACCCGTCGTTGCAAAGAATCTACAAACGAATAAAAGGCAATGTTGTCTCGAGTTATGAAGCAGCAGCCAAGAAAATACTCTCCAGGTAAAAGGAGATGAACAACTCAGCTCTCGACCATATTTTCGATTCATTCTTTCACAGCCACAACTGTGAACGTTTTTGTCAATCACTTAAATTGGACATGCAATAGAGTTATTTTAACGCCACGTTTATCAAAACATTATTATAGAGAGTGGACAGCATTCGTTGCAGACACGCCACAGCTAGAACATATGGTCTCAAAAGAGACCGACTGTGCTTTGAAGATAACTGGTGATCCATTCTTTTTCTCTGGTTACGGTATCGCTTTAAGGAAGAACTCAACCTGGAACACACGGCTGTCGATTGTAATCACCAGTCTAGTTCGAGAAGGATATATCTCAGGTTTGCAGGTAAAGTGGCTGGGAACAGGCTGCAGTAATACCAAACAACCAAATACAGAAAAGATGGGGACAAATGATATCGGAGGAGCATTTCTTATAGTCAGCTTCGGGTGCGTTGCCAGTGGTGTGTTCCTTCTTCTAGAGTACGCTGTATGGTATGCACTCGTTAGGAAAGACATGGCACAGACAAGAGCAGGAGAGAAAAAGAAGAATGTCGATCATGCCTTTGGTGCTTTGGTGAAGGTAATGGTCATTATCATAGTAGTTACAACGTTGTAGTAAGAATGATGGTAGGAAAGATGAAGTGGTGACTTGTGATGGTGATCTTGGTTGTTAAGAAATAGTTGGGTACGATCGATGCTGTCTCATAGTAGTATAGTAGAGAGTAAGATATATTTTCTAAATCATTTGATAATGGTATATAACCAAATGATGAGAAAGGTATTATATTTGAGGTTAACTGGTTTTAGTGTTGGCAATCTTCACAGCTTTGAAAGGTAAGATTAAGCAATCGTGCTATGGCGAGAATCCCATGATGGTATTGCATACCCCCTTTCAATTGTCATAAATGGGTCAGGGCTGAATCTCTTTATTGCATGTTTCGGTTAACGCTGCACCGTGTTGGATTCAGACTAGTCCAGTTCTAATCATAATCAGTGTCACTAGAGATCAGTCAATGTTCGTTTCCAGGTGCTGACTTTGTGGGAAGTTACAAGTTCAACGAACAATCAATTGAATCAAATCCCAACTACAGAAGCAACACTCAGAACTTTCAAAACAATCGATTTTGAGAAAGAAACATCGAGAAACAAGCCAACCGAAGATGAACATTGATTTTTGCGCAACCTGAAATCTTATCCATCTTCTTGAAAATCGAAGGGGAAGCCCGCTGTAGGTGCCGACGTAGATAAATCAATCTCACTCACGTCAGTAAAACATATTTTTCCTTATACCAAAAAAATTAAATTGGCTTTAGGACTCAAGTAAGAACCAAAACCAAAATCGGTTCACTATTTCAGAAACTGCAGGCACTGAAAAAGCCAAAAAGGTGATAAGAATAAATTACAGACGATTTAATTAGTTAATAAAACTGAATAATCGCCAATTCTGCAGACTTCTCTGTCCTTCGCTCGAGATCGATCTTCTAATTGCTTTTCGCGGGCGCAATAAATTAAATGTTGTTTTGCTCCAAGAAATATTAGCAAGGATCGTAATTAATTTTATGTGAAATGGCAAAACCTTCAATTAAGACATTGTAATCTAACTTTAAGTTATTCGGCGACTGAAATTCATATGTGTATAGACGAACTTCGAGCATTCAACAACGATGCTTTGTGGGCTAAAGTAGTGCCAGTGGTGTGATTTTGGAATACATTTTCAGTTGAAAAAAAGTGGTGTGCGTTGAATGATTAATGTAGCTGATACAACTGCTCAAGGCAATGGCCGCTAAACATATTTAACACAAAGGTATTTAGAGCAAATTCTAATATCAGCACTCATGTAGTGAGTGGTCTTCGCTAAAATTTCAACATTTAATAAGGCTCATCCCTCAGTATTTTTCCACTCTACAAGACTACAACAGAAAATGAAACTATTATAAATAAGGCTTATTAGATTCCGTGTTAATTGATAACTGTTCAAACGGCGTTCCCGCTGGCCTTCTTTTATCAATCTTTTAACAGATAATTGAAGTGTATATATAAGACTGAAGAATTCCAGTATTCCACCTTCCATGATGAATCTTTTTACGAGTACTAGGGTATTAGGGTAATGTTCAATACGCCACACGCTTGCCTTCATGCAAGATCAGACGTAAGCGCCGAGAAGATCTTGTCTACTAATTTAATTTTGTTATGGCTCCTTTATGTGAATGTTATTATTCAGACGCTGCTTTAGATGTAGCAATTTTAGGCCGTTCTTGCTTTAAACGCAATAACAATTCAAAACATTGTCGAAATATCAGGATACACCAAAATTTCGACTTTGTTTCATTTTTACCCCGCTAATATTCATATAATTCGTAATTATTAATTTCTTTAATTGCCTTTCGTGCATTCTAAAAATACGACACGCTAAAATATTGCGCCTAAAATATCCTAACAATTGCTTGCGTATAAATGGATTCTTTATAGATATTGTTATTGCACGATTCGGGTATAATTTTAGCCTTTTTAAAGCAGAAGCTCGCATATTTTTATTTTAAACAGAAAGTTGTCCCATGACGAGCAAGCCGATGCGAAGAAAACTACACGTTGCTGCTATGCAACTTATATTTTGGTTGAGTAGTATGTTAACACCACTTAGGGCGTCTCAAATTAGTCCAAAGCCTCCTTGGTTAAACATATTATACCTAGCGGACATACCACTGACCGAACGGACAAAAGCATCGCTCGCTCAATTCGAAAACAATCTTACGAAAAACGATAGATTGAACCAAACGGTCCAGTTAACAAGTAAAGTCCTTCCAGAAAACTCTACAATGTTAGAAACGCTCCGTAAGCTGAATGATGGTGTGCGATGGAAAGAGACACAGGTTGTTATTTTGAACATGAAAAATAAGAAAATTCAAAATATGATATTATGTGGGTATAATGGACTAGTGTTTGAGATTGAAACAAGACCAAAAGCTATGGAGCAGGTAAATATACATTTTGAATATCCATTTGATCTTGCGGTAGTTGCACCACGAGTATAGTCCAGCAACGACAGATTGGTTAGCTTTAAACTTTAGCCTAATTCGTATATCCAGGAAATGACATAACCAATCACACTTTTTTACAGAAATCCGACAATGTGTTTACTGTAAAACCATCGCTCACACGACTTCACGAAGCAACTGCGATGATTTTTGGCGAAATCGGATACACGAAGACCTACGATGTGCAATGCTTTGCCCGCCAAAAATCAGGAGTTGCAAAATTGAAACATACGTTGGAAAATATCAAAACCAGCGCGCATTCGTTTATATTCGTAAAGTGTTTAGAAAATTTAGACATTCTACTACAATACGTCAACGAAATTGGCCTTACGACAAGCGATTTTCGTTGGGTCCTCCCTGGCGTAATAGACTTGAGCAAAATATCAAGTAACTTACCACGGAATATGATAGCAATAGACTTGCCAGGGTCACATGACCGCTTCCAGCCAATGGGAGAAGAAAACGCGCTGTTCCTTGATGACGTCTTGCTCGTCCTGGAAAAGACGTTAAAAGACCATTATGAGGAACTGGTTAAAAAGAAAGGATCGGGAACCGTAAAGATTGCTTCCTCGTTAAAAAGGTAGGAAAAGTTATTATGTACTCTATTTCTATAAAGGTGGGTTAATCCTGTGTTGTGTGGAATGGAGCTTTCGCATATGATAGTTTTTTGTCATGCAGAGGAGCAGCCTCGTATTAAAGGCAATATATACTTGCCATAAAAATCTCCAGCAAATCCCCTTTGATAGTTGGACTAGGTTAATTCAGCTTTAGGTGAAATTGTTGTGAACTGCCCTACTATCATCATTGTTGATAAGAGTGAATATTTAACTATAGATACATCGTGAGTGAGCAATTCCCAGGCCGCTCTGGTGAAGTGAAGTTTAACACGGATGGAGAACGCTCTGGAGAAATCTACGAAATTTTCGAACTTATAAGATTCAATGACGTTCACAAATGGCTTTCCATTGGTTCCCTTGAAAAAGGCAACGTCAGAATCCTGTTCAACCAATGGCAACTGGAAAGCATGGGCAAGAAACAGGCAAAACCGGTTTTGCGAGTTGTCACAAGGCTTAAACCTCCATACATTATGCTTGGACCGGCACAAAAACTGAAATCGTCGGGCGAATGCGAACTTGGCCGACTGTGCCGACAATATACGAAAATAGACGAGAACCTCACGACTAACAAATCTACTTCATTTTCGTCCGAAGTCATCACGAACAAATCCGGGAATGTGCATGATGACGAGACAACGTTTGAGTACAAATGTTGCACCGGGCTTATCATGGACTTTTTGGGACAACTAGAAAAGGATGTCGGATTCATTAGCAAAATTCACCTTGTGAAGGATGGAATGCGAGGAAGCAATGACCCGAAGACGCAACGATGGAATGGAATGGTAGGCGAGCTCATGCGAAACGAAGCCGATATAGCTGCGTATACGCTTACAATTACCGCAAAGCGATCCAAAGTTGTGGATTTCTCATATCCGTATGCCGACATCGCTAGTGGCATATTGGTTTCTACGCAACCAATATCACATGACGTCTGGGATTTTGTTTTTTTGGAAACATTTAGTGTACATCTTTGGCTTGCATTCTTCATTTCAATTCAGGTAGAGTATATTTCAAGCATTTGAACTTTTGGAGCACATGAACCAACCAAATGTGATTAATCTATCGGCTTAACCAGTAGCACTGAGTATGGAAGTCAAATTTGACATTTTAAGCAAGTATATAGAGTTATGAACACAATCAGTTGTCCCATAGACTGTACATAACGTAGCTGCAATATGTGCGTGAAGATCGAGGTTGCGCATGCGCTATCTGATTATCAGTGTTCAACTGAGGTGCAATTCACCTTCAGATTGTCATAAGCATACTGTGGTTGGCCGAGAGACTACGCCAGAGAAGGAGATACCTAAATTTTCCTCACAAGCGAGACAACTCAATGAGCTGTGCTCAAATCATCAACTACACATGGTCGCTAGTGTTCCAGAAAGCGTCCGAAGAGGTGGGACCTACTACCCTGGGAGGGAGGACTGTGGCTGCTCTGTTTGCCTTTTGTACAATCATAGCTTGCAGCTCTTTTACGGCGAACCTTGCCGCCATTAAAGTAACAAAGAAAGATGGAATTGATATCAGTGGAATACGCGACCCGAAGGTACAAATTCGAGATGTATTTTTCTCGAACTCGTTTCATATTCACTTTCTATAGAGCTGTGCTTCTTTTGAGGTACGTGGCCCAACATCTTAGCTAAAAGGATCTTTTTCCCAGGAGATTGAACGTCCAAATTTCATTATCATTTATGCAGATTAATTCTGCATAGTATTGATTATATATGACAGGGTACACGAATGATTCGTGTGTCGTGTACATAAACAAACGTATTGTAAGCACGAGGGACTAAACTAGAGTTTCTTTTGACAGTTTTCAATAATAACTTTTCACTTTTTATTATTTAGTTTCAAACTGGCGAAATAAAAGTTGGAACACTTGAAAACTCTGCCAATCTGGACTTTTTTCGAGACAGCACAGACCCGTCGATGCAAAGAATTTACAAACGAATAAAAGGCAATGTTGTCTCGAGTTATGAAGCAGCAGCCAAGAAAATACTCTCCAGGTAAGAAGAGTTGATCATTTGCATCAGTGAACGCTATTTTCCCAGTTGAGTTCCTTTGATGAGTGTGAACTGTTTTCGCTGCCACGCGTTAACAAATTGAAATCCAGATCGAACTTCCCTCGAATCCTCGATAAAATACGTATACACATGAATGACGTTCATCCTCTCAAGTCGACGAATTTCGATCTCTATACTCTTCTAATTAAGATAAATAAATTATTTCCTCTTTCTTGTTTAAAGTTTGACATTTCATTGTCTTATTGGTATGAGGGCAATGTGCGTATCCAACTCAAATGGTGGAGTTGAAAATTTGCTTTTTTTATTTTGTTACGCAGAGAGTGGACAGCATTCATAGCAGACACGCCACAGCTTGCGCATCTGGTGTCAAAACAAAGCGACTGTGGTTTGAAACTTAGTGGTGATCCATTCTTTTTTTCTGGTTACGGCATTGCTTTAAGGAAGAACTCGACCTGGAACACGCGGTTGTCGATTGTAATCACCAGCCTAGTTCGCGAAGGATATATCTCAGGTTTGCAGAAGAAATGGCTGGGAACAGGCTGTGGTGATGTCAAACAACCTGGTATGGAAAAGATGGGGACAGATGATATCGGAGGAGCATTTCTCATAGTCAGCTTCGGGTGCATTGCCAGTGGCGTGTTCCTTATTTTGGAGTATGTTGTATGGTATGCGCTCGTTAGAAAGCAGATGGTGAAATCGAGTGAAGGAGAAACGAATGACCATAAAGAACATACCTGCTTTGGTGCTTTCATCAAGGTGATGTTATTTTAATTGTGATTGATTCTGATTAAAGAGGTTCGTGGTGATCATGGTAGTAGTGCATGGTGAGATGAGGGTAGAGAATTTGTATGTATGTATGAAGTCACTCTGGTATAGAACTAACCGGGAAGGCAGGAAATGTCTTATACTGACTATAGTCCAATGCCCTTCCAACAATATCGAAGAAATTTCTTTTTTGAATCAGAGTTTCATGAATTTATTACTCAGTAACATTATTAAATGCGAATTAATAAAGTTATCATTAATATATAATTCTTCTAGATGTTGACTTTATGGGGCATCACTCGTTCAACGGATCACACGGCGGATCATCAAACCCTTCCCGAACCAGCATCACTCAAGTCTTTTAAAACACTCAATCAGGAAAATGGATGCAACGTTGAAAACTTCAAATTTCATCCAGCGGAAACTGAACATTGACTATAATAATCAGAGTTTTCAAATGCGCAACTTGGTCAATTCTTGTCGCGATCAGTTTAGTTTAGGAAAACGATTGTTATATGTTTACTGAACTATTTTGAAATAATAGTAACACTGGTCACAATTACCTGTTCAAGACTGCAGCAGTATATATTATGTTTCAATACACTATATTCTATGGGTTAAAATTTCTTAAAAATCTCAACAGAAAAAACTGAAGAAAACTGATTGCAAGTCGTTATAATCTTTGTGAATTTAGATTCTCGTAATGGTTTAGGTTCTTATAATGTCAGATAAATGAAAAAAATAACCACAAAGATGTCAAAAGACCTCGAACATACGAGTGTTGACCACAAAGATGTCACAGCATTCGGAACACCAGATGTATGACAGAGTCACTGCATAGAGAACGTATATGTAACATTCCTCCTCCCTCTTTTAAGGTGTTCCAGATACCCGCTTCCCAGACGATTCTTTGACAGAACTTGCAACGTGTGAATATGTGATAGACAATTGTATCGTTCCCACTATAGCCCTTGTTGATCAATACAGTCAAAGTGAGTAATGATATCAATTCAGTGCCGTACTAATCAAGTGATATAACAAACATTGCAAAAGTGTGCTTGCGGTCATCATAGTAAAATTCCTGGGTTTAGCAATAACATATTCTTCTTATACCTATTAATATAGTCACTGGTCACATGTTTTATGATATCTTTCGACATATATACTGTATACTGAATGCGCGAATCCTACTAAAAAACTATCTTTCCTGCATTATACCCCGGCAAAACATGCCATTATTCTGGAAAATTGTAAATATCATACTATGATTAACGTGACATAATTTATTATTTATTCATAATCATTATTAATTCATAATTGAAGCGTCGCTTTGAAATATTCCTAGCATTCCCGGCAATCCAATCTCAGTATTACAAATATTTCGACTTCCTCTTGCGAAATCATATATGCAAGGCTGATGTTGTCGCGACGTTAAGGCAGATGTTGTCGCGACGTAAACGTATTATATATTTAGAGTTCCACCAATGATAGACACAGTTGTAAATTACATATTTTTTAAATGTTTCGGCGTAGTGGCCTACGTCTCTGCGATAACTCAGTTTTTCGCTGGAGTGGTACTCATCACTGTCACTTCGGTTTTAAGAGCGGGTGAAACCGATAAATTCTCTTGTACGGTTGGCATCAGCAGTACGACAGCATACAAGACCCACGTCGAGAAAACGTGTTATTCAAGATACGACCAAAGGTACAATCCTTTATTTCCACTGTACGGTTTTGTTATTCTCAGTTTTGGTTTTCCATTTGTTGTCTGTGCTATTTATTCGCTGTGTGTAATCACTCGTGTCGATGAAATCGAGAAAACCTTGGGCAGAAGTAATCATCGCTCGAACGAAGCCGAAAGGGAAGAAACGAGCAATGGATTTTGTGTTTTTTATTCCTATTTCATTCACCTCGTTGCTCGTTCGCTCTTTGGATGCCTTTTGGCAGTTCTACAACAGACAGTATTTTATCCTAGTGGATATGACTTCGAATTTGTTTGCAATCTTCCAACATCTGATGTGTTAAGAGCTCAAAGACAGAGTGCAACAAATACGAGCTTTGGTAAGTCTAACTCCACCTCAGTAGCATGCGAGAATTCAACTGCTCATGAAATGAGTATATGTTGCTGGGCTGTCCTTGTATTAAACATCGTCTTTGCTTTCATTACATTTGCGGAAGTTATTTATCTAATATGGCACTGGGTACCAGTCCTCAAATGTTGTTCTAAAATTAGCTCGAGTCGTGGCGGCAAGGAGTTTGTAAGGCATTATCTTATTCGTAAGCGATACAGACGAGTTCCGTCTCACAACAATCCAGATGATATTATGGACGGTACCATTCCACTTAATAGCACAACCGAGATCAGTTTTCAGGCCTGGCTACAATCTCATAAGCAACAAGTTTTGAAACGTACACCCGACATATGTTATGCACTTGGCATTGATTTAAATGATTTAAACGATTTGTACGTTGACCTTGTTCTTTACAATGGGAGAGCCCAGCAGGAATTTTCAAAGGACATGAAACGTCTTGAAATATTTGACGTGTACACGAAAGTTCCCAAATCTTCAATACGACTCGAGAAGATCGAGAGTTTATTCAAACACATTATCGATGATTCGCAGGACAATCCTCCTCGCACCATTCTGGTAGTTGGACGACCAGGAATAGGCAAGTCTGTGTTGGCTGAGAAAATAATCCGAGATTGGGCAAATGAGATCGATCCTATTTACTCTGGTCGGATGGTTTTCTTTTTCAAATTTAGATGGTTCAATCAACTTGAGTACAGGCAACTTTCGATGGAAACATTTCTTCGTTATGGAGCAGGACAGAGCGACGAAAGACGCCAGGGAATCTATGAAGAGATTCGAAATGATCCTAAGAAAGCCATCTTCATTTTTGATGGTTTGGACGAGTTCGATGGTGATCTGAACAACTACTTGGAGGAAGCACGAGCAATTCCATACGAGCCTAGCATGTGTACGTCAGCGATGATTTTATTCATTAAACTAGTTCGCGAGGGTTTACTTGATGGGGCGACAATCCTTGTAACCAGTAGATCTACAGTCGATCATTTTTATGCGAAACTTAATTTCAATCGACATGTTGAAATTATTGGTTTCACTCCGGAGAATATCCAAGAATACGTCGGCAAGTTTTGCGACAACATTAAGAGGAAAGATTACGAAGAGAAGATATGGAATCACATCAATTCCTCCTCAGACTTATTAAGTTTGTGCTACATTCCTGTAAATTGTTTGATTGTATGCCTAACCCTGTCTCATTGTCTCGATTCTAAAAATGACACCGCTTCTCTTCCGACGACACTTACCAAACTTTACGATACGGCTGTGGGCCATTTATCAAAGCACCACGACAGAAATTTAGACGTTAAAACGCAGAAAAAACTTCAGAAATTAGCATTCGAAGGTATAAAAACCGGGAAGTTAGACTTCAGAAAAGAACGTTTTGACAAGAAAATGAAAAAGTCAGGCTTGGTGAACAGTTCATCGAATCCATACTTTCCAAACGAAACAAAATACTCCTTCCTTCACCTAACAATTCAAGAGTTTCTTGCTGCAAAGCACTTGGTTAAAACACGCACAATGGATGAAATAGGAAGATTTATTACAAGGCATGTTGAAACGCCTAAATGGCGTCTAGTATTTCTTTTCATTGCTGGACTTTTGAGGGAGAGAATTGAAATGCCTGGATGCGGTTACAATCCTTGCATCGCGGCTTTTTTAAATGGCTCCATTTTAGACGGTGAATGTGAAATTGACATTCAAAAGCATACCATAAATTTGCAGGTAATGAAATGTTTAAGAGAAATTGACGAGGAAAAGATCGTTGAAGACATATGCAAAACCAACTTGAACCATGTTACAAAAGTCTCGTTCCGTGGCTATCTCATTAACACTTTATCTACAAGCGACGCTGCAGCAGTTTGTTACGTTTGCAAACATCTGAACAATTTAAAAGATCTTACTTTAGAAAACGCAGTTCCCGATGACAAAAGCTGTTTCGATGAAATTGCTCAACTCCTGCAGAACAGATGTTTACAGAGGCTGGAGTTAGTAGCCGAGACTGAAAACAAGTTGGCAAAGAGACAGTTGACCGATGCATTAATGGGATCTGAATGCACATTAAATCATCCTGAACACGCAAAACTTCGAGAGCTCACGCTTAGCATTGAATTAGATGATGACTGCGCAACTAGTCTATGTTCATTCGTTCAAAACGGGTCTCTTCAAAAACTTGATCTATCTCGGAATCATTTAACTCAATCGGGAATGTCTCAACTCAGCAAGGCTCTTCGACGTTGCCCAGAGCTTCAGTACCTGAATCTAAGTTACAACAAGATACTTCATGAAAGTATGGCCGAGCTTTACGATGCTGTGATACGAGCACAGTGCCCACTGAGTTCGTTGATCCTTGATCACTGTTCATTGACGAAGGATTGCGTATCGTATCTGTGCAAAATTCTCTGTGCCGAACATTGTAAACTACACGAGCTATCATTGGTCGCTAATGCGAAAGGTATTTGTGACGAAGGTGTACGAGAGTTGTGTATTGATGCTTTGACAAAAAAGCAATGCAATCTTACTAGTTTATCACTGAACGCGTGCAGCGGGATAACAGATAATTGTATTCCGCTTGTGTGCGAAACTTTGCAGGACAGAAACTGCAAGCTTACTCGTTTGTCACTAGAGTACACCACAATTACAGATGAAGGTAAGAAATTGCTTCGCGCCGTTCAAGACACAGAATGTTGTAAAGCTCGAGGTTTAGAAATTGACATTTTTGATAGTAATTACCATTTGGACGCTGTCAATGTTCTGTAGATCAAGTGCGGTAGATCGATAGGGAGAAACACTGAACCACACGACACATTGAGTCAGGTAATTTCATCTAACATTACTGTCTGCACATGCGCTTATTCATAACGTGTGCAGGAACTTGCAGAATAAGCTCGTCTGCTATTAACTGGCCAGTGAGCTGGATAAAATATATCTAGTTCAGTGGATGCTGTAACGTGTAAACTACATAATATTATGTATAGCAAATTCACGAATGTCTCACAATCATGAAATAAATATTCCCATTTTTTACTAACTGCACTTCATAATAACTCATTCAATTGCAACAACTTGCAATATTGCAATAGACAACAAACTGAATTTATTAAGATTGTCCTAAGCTTAAATGCGAGTGCTATCGGCTATGAAGTGAGAAATTTGTTTCAATCTTGGATTTTATCCTTGGTTCATTGATTTCACTCAAGGTTTTACAGTTTTACTTCAGTTCTCTTTGTCTTCGGACAATCTTACAGTGAATCAACCATATCTATTCAGTAAAAAGTTATTTTCTTCCTCTTGAAACACCACTGTACTATTATACTTTAATATGTTATTAACAACCTTGATGTCTGTATTTTGATCATTAAACTATTACGACTTCGCTGTATGAGCCTCCAGAATATAGTTTAGTGCCTCTCGAACCTATTTCGCTACATTATAAGTGAAAGACCGTGAATGCGAGTCAAAAGAATTCGCGAAAATCCTCACGCAGATAAATTCCAAGCCTAAAACCATAAACGAGCCTACACACACGATAGCCAGCAGAAAAAGCAACCCACTCTCGTCCCGCAGTCCCATTTCCCTGGCCGCGTTAGGAGTCTTCGAGACGCAGCCCGACTCAAGCCACTTTTGACTGAGTTTCCTCATACTGCCGTCCTCGTGCATCTTTCGGAACGAGGACGTGAACTTTCGTGACCACGCCGAGTTACGTCGGAAAGGCATGCCGTAGCCTGAGATTTCCGAATGATTTCCCGACCACCTTAAGATCGCAGGCTTTTTCTTGAGAAGCCATGTAGTGGAGAGATGGCGTGTCTTCAAAAAACGCCTGGATTTCACTAGAGCAAAATAACTGCTTGTATTTTATGGCCTAAATCTTTAAATAATGTTATTTTTGATTATGTAATAACACCAATTTAGGGGCTGTGTGTTATAGTATAATTTAAATTGCAAAAGAAAAAAGGACATAATTTTCTTTTGATGCAAAAATGCGCTCCAAATGAGGATATATGTCACTAGCATTTTTGTTATTTTGCTTTTTATAAAGATTCGGAATTTAGAGTTTATTTATTTGGTTATATTTAGATTTGTTTTAATTGTTGAAAAAAGTCAGGACGAATTGATAGTTAGAATGAGCGAAAACTAGTTTATAGGTTCGTTTGATCTCAGCGAATTTTCACTGACAGGGTTTCCAAAAGATTTTAGTCCAAAAAAACCTGCTCAATACAACTGACGAATCTACCTAAAGGCGGATGCATCAGTTTAATTTGTATATTTTATAGCATTGCTTCACACAGTTCTTACTGGCTGAGCTGCATCTCTGACAACTGCAAATATATCAATGATGTATCCTCTTACCCTGACTTCAGTAGCTTCCGTGCCTCAGCTCTGGTAGACACAAGACGATCTTTCATCGTCGCATAAATTCTCCTCATCCTTGGATCTGGACTCTGCTTGAAGAATTCCGATGTCGAAGTAAACTTGGATGAAGTAAATTTAAATTCACTGCTCGGATTTATAAACTAAACAGAAGACATTCAATAAAAACGTTGAGAAAAGTCCACAATCAAGAACACTTCATCATCTCTTTCAAATTTCCAACCCCGGTTGTGGTAAACAAACTCAGACACGCTCTGTGAATCAACTTGGCTCTCACCTTGATGTCATAAATCCCAGATATTTCCTCCTCATCTTCTTCGATAACTTGAATGGCGGCCAAATTTGCCGTGTAAGTACTGAGCAATATGATCATGTAGAATCCAAAGATCCCGGTCACAACCCGACCACCGAACGTTTTGGGTCCCCCTTCCTGGACCACCTTCTGCACGACCACTCCCCAAGTGTACGACATGCTCTCCAAAAATCTACCCACCCCTCGTGTTGCGCGAGGTCCACGGTCAAAAACTCGCCTGTGATTCCATCCCTCAGCGGCCCACAATATCAAAACACAGCCGGCAAAAATACCCAAGGTTATAATCCAAAGGTTTCTCGAGAACGGCTTGAGAAACGAACCGTTGATATGAGAATAAAAATTCTCCCCGTTGGTGGAGACAATGATCCCACTGCCAGAGGCTAGAAATGGATAGGAAAAGTCGACAGCTTTTGACCGGGTCTCGGTAATGGTCAGGCTGTATAGAGCGGTGTCTGCTTCGCCACGCAAGACCTCGCCTATCATTCCGTTCCAGGCTCCTGAGCTCGCGTTCTTGCTGCCAAATTTGTTGTCTTTGACAAAATGAAGTCTCGGGGTGAATGAAATTCGTTTCATGAGTTCTTCAAGCAACTCAATCAGCATACCTGAAACAAAAAAAACAGTCAAAGAATATGACACTTTACGTGGAGATTCCTTTAAATCCTTTATTCCTTTCTTGTAGTTTCATGTACATTGTGACCAAAGCTTCCACTAGTTCCAGGCAAATTTCTCACTTCATTATAACCCACCCCAAACAACTGATGCTTAGCTAAACAACCTACCCGAACAGCAATGCACCTTGAACGAATTATTATCCTCGGTTACATAACGAGTATAATTGATGCACTTCATTCCAATAATACATTTTGAGCTTCTCTTATCGATCTCCTGAGCAGCAGTAAAGAACACCCAAGGCTTGCTGTACTTTGTAGCGATACGGAGTAACGGTGGCTTTATTCGAGATACTTCATGTTGAATCCACGATTTCAGGGTCGTATCGAAGGAATTATTACGCCACGAGCCAATGCAAAGCCATCCAGTTGAGTTGGGAAACTGAACCAGTTGAAATATTCTATAATCGCTACCTTTGCGAGAATGCTGGGTACCATCGAAGTATACCCGGCCGGTCTTGCCAGCGAAATTTGTTTCCAAGATGTTCCTAAATTCAATTTAACATAAGAACTAACATCATGTAAAGCATTTTAATGTAAACTTAATGATGATAAATTTTGAGAATAACAAGCTTTTTCTTTACCATTTTAAATCATTTGAACGTCGATGAAAATCACTGTCAAAACCTTTTCCCAAACTTGCAATTAAAACCAATGCATCGTCCAAATAATTCACATTTCCACAACTTGTGTGACCCTGTTTCGAATGATCATCGGAATGATTTAATTCAATTGACATCAAATTTTGAGGCAACTCTTCAAAGGTTTGATCAATGAAAACGAAGTTTACCAAAAACCATCGATACTGTGTTCCAAGTAGCTCATATTCGTTTGCCAACGTGAAGATTTCCCGGAGTCTCTCGGTACAGTGCACAACAATACAGAAGTTCATTTCTTTCGCAGCAACGAGTTGTGATCTAATGTCGTTATCGACAGCACTATCAGACTTATTGCATGTGATATTCGCCGTTTCTTTGCATAATATATGGTTTGATATATCACCGATGATGCGCAGTTTTTCTGACTTGGGTGGAACTAGACTGACATAGTTTTGAAGGAAAAACTGAAATGAGAAACGAACACAAGATTTTCATTAATGCATGATCTCTTTTAATCCAGGCTCCTTTTGAAGTTGGTCTAGTGACTTGCGTCCAATACGAGGCTTTACCTTGAGTGCTCTTGGACTGTGAAATTTTTCTCACCACTCTCTACTCCTGAGGAGTGTCTAGGTCTGTGCATGATTATCATTAGATCAGGGATGAATATCAGCAGAACTTACCTGATTTTCATGACTTTTGGTTTTACCAGGGCGTACGACGACGCCCAGTACAATTGACTCCATGTTTCCCAACATTTTCGCCCACAGCCAAGACCTCTTCAAGTCAAGATTAGTAACCACATACATTCTAGTTTCATTCCTACAGTCCTTAGTTCTTTCCAAAACTTGGTACGCTTTACCAGAGGAAAAGCTCAAACTCATAGCGTCAAGTTGCAATGAAACATTGAAACGGTTACTAATGTTGTTGACGATTGAATGTAAGGTGAGTTCCGAAGATGAGGACATTGGCTCTTTGCACCAGACTGCCACTCTTATAGGATCAACAGGGTATGAGCCAAGGATCATATGGGGTGATGCAGGTGAAACGATGAGAGATGCTACCAGCATGAGAACGCTGATCGATCTATATGGAAAAGGAATAAAAATATTTAGTATCGGAATTAAATATCTGCCTGGGAGGGACACATCTCCTTAGTTAAAATGAGAAAGGTGGGAAGGAATGGCTACTGTTTTCCGAAGAATAACAGCCTGTCACCCGTCCACATTTACCCCAGATCTCCAGGAAGCAGCATTTCGTACATTCTCCATTACACTGCAGGGCGATTTTCTGGTCGTAACGTTGCTGTTTTTTCAGGCTTCATATATTGTGTGTAACAAAATGGAATAGCAGCGTCATGTGTGTGACCAGAGAAACACCTTGCACATGTATAGCTTCGGATGATGGCTGCTTTTGATCACTAGTCACACATCTAACACGACTTTGGGGCGATAAGCAAACCCCTCCCCCTCTCGACCCAACATCCACCCCTGGTTTCTCTTTACATGTAATCATTATAATGATGAAACGAGAATGATTACATCGATATATTCATCGACTTTTGTCACTGGTAAACACGGGGAAACACAACAGAAGGAGTAGATTAAGTATTGCTAAAGAACGGACAAATTAGTAAAAACGTATTCAGCAATTTGCATTGAAATCAGAGCTTCCTCGGGAGTTGAAGAAGCGAAGTGTTTTTTCTAAAGTTGATTGAATTAAAGCAAGCGAGAATGTCTCGTATATGTCGTTTATTTAGTAACAGTACAGCGTTGATCGATTGACTTTTATAAACTATTATTCCCGCCCAGCCGGGGCCGCAGAATACGTTTCAGACATGGCACAGCGCGAATCCTGCTTCATCACATGGGAAAAAATGATCGACTATATAAACCTTGTGTGTATGTACAGTTTCAGAATTTGGGTTCCTGTCGCATGTCACGATTTTCTAGTAGTACAAAGATTAAGGTAACCTCGAGATTTGCAGCCACTAAAAACTAACACAAATCTATTTCATAGACAAGAGCTGTATTTTACAGCTGCGTTCGTAGAGAGACATGATACAATTTAATTTGTACCTTCTTCTTGTACACACACAAGCCATATTTTGCGGCGAAGCTGATTTCAATAGTAATGTCAAAGGTGTTTACTTCATTCTCCGCATTTCCCAAAAAGATTTTTTCTTTGCGTACATAACGGTTAAAGAGAAGCTGGCCAGCACATCGTAATGTCAACATCATTCATTGCTGTGCAACTAATTTGATCGTTTTTGCATATCAGCTCCCGCAATGTCAAATCGAATCTGCCAAAACAAAACATCAAATTAATATCGACAAATTGAAAAGTATGAATAAAATATCACACCCTTCGCACACGAACAACAAAATGAACAACCCTGATATTTAGCTGAGAGCAGTGGACGTAGAAAAGTTAAATATAACACAAATATGAACACTGGAATATGATACAAGAATATCAAAGTTTCACTTTTTGGAGCTTTTGTACGCCAACGGGTGACATATATAGTTCCTGCAATGATTTTTATCATGAATGCACGGTTAGAAGCTAAAGATTTACACCAAGAAGGCTGTGAATAGGGAAAATCTATAGCGCTTTTTTTACAGAATTGTGAGCCTCGCTTTGTATGCTTGTGGCTTCGGCAAGAAACTCGTAATACATTTCATTTAACAAATTTATTGAACGCGCCAACGTGATATTGTTAATGTCAAGAAATAATCATATCACAGTCTTTCATTCCAATATGAAATAATTATAACAGTTTCTTTCGGACAAGAATTGTTACATAACTTATAACAACATCTCCGGATTAATTGTAACATCTCTTTGTAGCTAACAGTTTAACATTGTAACAGTTTCTCTTTTATGAGAAGACTACTATGATATCGTTTCTTTCGAAAACGAAACCATTCCGACAATTTCATTATCAATATCTTCTTCGATCGAGGCACTCCAACTCAATATATGCGTCACATATCGCAAAATGACATTAGCCTGTTGTAAGCGACGCAGGTGCATGAAACACTGACAACGCAAATCTATATTTACCGATGTGATTTTTTGTTAATTTAATGTTTTCTAGATCATTTCTATCTGAAATGTAATCAGTGTAGCTATATATAGCCTCTGCTACATTATTAAATTGACTTGAATAACGATTTTCGCTCGGGAGTTCAACGGACGTATTTGGCCAAAAAAAGGCAATAAATAAGACTGTTAGTCGGCTCTCATTGATCTGAAATAGATTCTAGACAGCAGAGAAAAACAGGCAAATTCGTTTGTTATCAGAGCGAGTTTAACCAATCAAAAATTGTTCAAAATGTCTGGCTATAGACATAATGAGAATTATCCCTTTAATTCTTCTCCTCTGAAATGAGTTCTTTAAATTCTCGGGACACTATGCGGCGCCCTTACTGCGCCGTTCGAATTTTGAAGGTATTCACAAGGCGTCAATATTTTATGAAACTCTGTCGCGTGAGGATCGAGGAGTCTGAGGATGACCAGTGGCAATGGCGTCGCCGTGAGAACGTCTCCACCACACAATCTCCCGCGGTTCGTTTATCACACATTTTGACTCTGTGCCGTGGGCATTTCAACCCCCCGAAGTGCATTTCTGCATGTTTCTAATTCAAACACGAAATTTCACACTGAAATTGCCGGCAAAATTGTGGCTACCAGCTCTGAACTTCTGATCAAGATTTCTTCAATATTAACCCGAACAAAACTCAATTTACTGAGGCACTTAGAGCGATGGAGAAGGGGTACCACCCCTCCCCCCTAACCAATAGGTACGATGATGTGAGAATCACAGTCAACAGATCTTTTTATCATTATGAACTTCAAGTTGTTCGCACGACTGTTTTATGATATATCTTCGTATTTTTTCGGAATCATCTTCAAAGAAGAACATCATTCATTGAAGAAGCCTTCAGTCAAATCTTCAGTCAGGAAAACTGCATCTTTTTCATCGGTTTTTGCCTGCAAATGCTTCTGATTCATTTCATTGTTATATTCACTCTAGTGTGCTTTTATTACGCGCCCACAAAACATTCCGCAAATCTCGAGCTTAGATTTATCGTTATCATACATACATGAAGCCATGCGTACGTTCTCAACAAAGAAATATATCACGGTTGTGATTAATTTAAAACTGAAGATTAACGAGTTTAATATGAGTAATAAACATAGATATGCTCAAAGATAAAGCTCATCTGTTTTGGAGTAAAGCCATAGATAAACCGGCAAAATCAAATAATCCGTCTGATATACCCGCAAAAAACGACGATTCCGACTTGATCAACCGCGAAATCTTATCGTAATGTAATTCATCATTGGGTTGATATCATCTCCAACGACAGGCCATGAAGATATCATTTAATGAAATACACAATTTTGAACACATTTTCCGCCATTGATGTTGTAATAAAGGCACGCATTGGTTTAAATTTGATCAAAAGGGTGTGTAAATAAAAAGAGAACTAAAAAAAGGAGCCGGATGATAGATTCTTTCAAAAAAGTAGCCTTTACAATCGAGGTAGTTTACTTCATGGAAAAGGATATTTATGACCGGGACATTTGCTCTCCACGATTATGCTGTACTAGTGCACGACTTACATCAAATCAGCGCCCCTAATTCTGGTTTATCATATTATTCTTCCTAAGCGACAAACACTGCCTGGTCAAAGATCCACACAGCACTGAAAATGGATTTCTTAAAATGAACAATCCTGCATCTTCTAGAAAATGAGGAGTGCATTCGTGATAGCTTTCACAAAGGATAAACATGTAATCTACTAAAAAAAATCGTCTATTTCCACGGGAATTTTTTGAAATTTTTTCGTCGAAGCATTCAACAGCCTGCATATGATTTGCCATCTGCCAATCAAATGAAGCTGCACGCTGATTGGTCGAGTTAATTACATCCAGCCTGATCCTCAAAACGTAAAGTTTTGAAAACAGTGATTCATGTCGTGGCCATATTTGCAATAATACTTTGTAGAGTCTGTCCTTGCAGCATTGGGCAAAACCAATGCCTTTAAAATATTTTATTTTCATACCAAACGAAACCACTATATTCACGTGTTTACAAACATTTTAACAAATGTACATCAAGCCCTTTGTAAAATATTGTTTTCTTGATGTAACAAATATTGTAAAAGACAATAATAGGGCGTGGCGTAGCAGGGGGCTTAATTTATAAAACGGAGGTTGTGGGTTCCCTTTTTGTTACATCCTCGTAGCGGGTAGAACATATTATAATAAGTCGTGAGTTGTGCTAACCATAAACAATATACTACAGTGGCCATTTCTTGTTACACAATATTTTAATTTCCTAACACAGCTGTTTTCATAACAAAACTCTAATCATATCTAGATAAGATTTTCGAAACATAACGATTTGCGGTGCGCACTTGTTAAACTTTAAACAAAAACAGCGCTTTTACATCGCGCAGGAAATATTTTCACGGGAAAAGAACTAAATAGTAATGTGCGGTTAAAAGCGACCACAGTTTGCGATTAACGATACCTTTTCAGACGGCGAACATCTGTACTTAAACCGCTGTATGCCAGGATGGCTTACAAAAGATATAAAAGTCCATGAGCAATGAACTTGCTTAACCAAATCTGAAGTTCCACTGATACTGTTAACTCGATAACTGTTTTCGACTTAATATTTAAGATGAAAGGTGAAATTATTCTGAGCTGTTTTGTGATATTTGTCGCTGTCCTGCTGGTGTCACAGGCGGTTCCCGAGAGCCGCTGGAATTTCGACACCGATTCTGACAAACTTGATTACGAGGAGATGCAGAAGCGATCTGGCTTTGAACGGCGAAAACGACTCTGTGGGGTTAGCAGTCGTAGACAAGGCAGATGTCGATTGGGGGTAAGGATTCATAAAAACATCATTTTTTTTCTGTGTGCAGTTGTCGCCTCGTAGAAAGATTTCCTTGCAGTGCAGTATAATTAGCCTTTCTCACGATGACGTTTTGGGGTAATTTCAATTTTTTGAAATGGGTTTAAAAATTGTGTTTAAATATCAAAAGCCATTTTTTTCAGAAAACAGACCATTTGAAGAATAAATTCAGCCTAAAATTATAGACAGTCGCCGTTATCAAGTCTTACGCTCATGGTTTTTGAAAAAAGTACCCCCAAAATGGCGGCATATTCGTCATCGTGAGGAAGTATATGCACTACAATTGTGCTGCATTCATTCAATAGCGAACGTGGAAACGTGGGCGTTGTTGCTAAGAATTCACACGGCATATATCGGTTTACGATACGAAGACGGGTTGGCTTAACGTAGCTAGGACCTACTAGCAATATGTAATACATATTATAAGTCATCTTGACTGTGTTTTCTACAAAAGAATTCATGTTTTCTTATAAAACATGAATCAGATTATAGGCTGTCAAGCAAAACCATCTCAATTGCCAATTCTAAATAGTGCCTTACTTATACATCTTTTAACTTCATGTCCAAAATGGTTTCTACAGTTTCCTTTTTTTATTTCTTCTTCTTTTGTTGAATTTAATTGGCTTTGTCAAAACAAATATGACATGCACGCACGCAGGGAGTGATAAGAACATATTTGCTGCATGGACACACGATTGGTTGCCAACGCAACAACGAAAGGTGTTAGCAAAAAAATAAGTTTTTCACGCACGCGGTATGTTGATAAAATAATATGCTGTTGGTTGTGAAGATTGTTATCGATTTCATAAAAGAATAATCGCTCATTTGTGGCCGTTAATGCAGGAGCCAATGATAATTGAGATTTAATAGCCACATTTGATTGGGCGATTTTTCCAACTCATCTTCACTCTTAGCCTTAACTATCTGTGAATCTGCCAAATCTCAATAACTGACGAGCCTTAACAAGATTCTCTTTTTGTTTTTTTGTAGGATACTGAATACTTGAGACGGAGGATGGCTTTTAGGAAATGATTTCTCGGCATTCGGATTAAAATAGCGGCTAAAACAAGCGAAGAAACAATGGAATACAAAAAATACATATACAATGGCAATGCAATGAGACAATGATTTTGACTTATGCTAGTTATATATATATATATAGCTATAACAGTGTAGTTTTGTTATAAGAACAATAAAGTAATCAATGTTCTTGCATGTATGCGGCATGCATTTGGTTTTAAATAGTCTGATAATCACGTATTATTTGCCGGTGTTGTGGAAAACGTATGATGAATGTGTGTTGAAAAAGAAATGAATTTGCCTTTGTGCAAGATTTGTGAATTCTAAGCTAAAATCCCGGCCGGCAAAGCCATGGGCTATATCCCCCTCACCAAAGGGGAAGGACATCAATATGATGAAATGACAGCGAGGGTCGTCAAGTATAGGATGTGAGCGCGCGGGTTTGTAGCGGTTTCCTTTTGATCAGAGCCACACCATTCTGACTATCAAGCCTGGGCACGAGTTTTATACTTATAGCTCTTTGATGGCGTAGAACAGCTGACTCTCACCGTGAACCGATCTCTAATCATGCAATAATGCGTCTTTAACGCAACATGAAATTAGTACCAGGTTTGCTTGATTTAAAGGCGACCTGTTTCGCCCGGTTCATGAAAGAATTGTTCTATATTATGCCTAGGAAATGATGTCATTTTTCATTGAAAACGTTTTCAACTACCATGAAAGCCATACACATATGACGAAATTGAACTCTTTTTATAGAGATATTTTATTGTAATAATTATTCTAGATACTACGTACTGAGCTAGCTTAAATGTATATCTTTGTCTTTATAGAGTTAAATTGAAGCCACAGACAGCTAAACTTTTCAACAAATGATCAGGTGAACAAGCTAAGAAAAACAACAACAGCTGAACATGTCAACCACCAATTACGTAATAATAATAATAATAATAATATAATGATAATATTAATAATAATTATAATAATTTATAATAACATAGGAATAAAAATAAACTCCCAATAAACAGT